TGTGAAATTTTTATCTAAAATGATATGCTAAAAACCAAAGATACTCAAGACAACTCTTGAGTATTGCAAGTTAGTATTTGGAGTCCTGTACTAGCCCTTATTGGTCTGAATTATAAAAGCATCCTTAGGTGCTCAAAAGCCTTGCCACTAGGCTTGTTATGAAAACTAGAAAAGTAAACTTGGCCCTTCAAAACAGTCTTTCATAAGAGATCATAACCACAGTCAGGAAAAGGGGAGGGCAGAGCCATGAATGAGGAGACTCGAGTTGAGTTGTGGAGATTTCCATTAATTAGGAAAGAAAGGTGCCTTTCAGAGGCCTAAATGTCACCCTCCTAAGTGCCAAAGCTACAAACACTTGGTTGCTTTTGCAGGGAGAGGTCATCGTGCGCAGACAGTGCGGTGAAATGGAAACGCAGGCGTGGGACAAACAGGCACGGTCATTTTCGTAAGCAGGGACACAACATTCCACTGCTTGTCTACAATTTCCATTTTTAAGCTGGAGTCTGCTGTAAACCATTTATCATGTGGTTTTCTAATACCTCTAAATGGCCCTCTGCTTCCCCCCCAGTGCCATGCAGCCGAGATGCCACATCTGACAGTGCAAGTTAAAAATGACTCCGATAGCACCCGACAGTGCTCCGTGCACATCCTCTGACTTAGTGCCTGCAGACTAAACAAGCCTGTTGATGCCAAAAGATCCAATACTGAAACAGTGGGCCTGGCTTGCTGCTCCTCTGGGACAGAGCCAACTCTACTGCTGTCAACAAACACTAAGTCAGACTTGGAAAGCTTACAGGAAGCTTTCATGGCAGCATATGCCAGAAGAGGGGGAAACAACTGCCCACCTCTGAGTTGCAAGAATTCTGAGAACCAAGACGGTTGGGAGAAAGCTACAACAGGTCATGGTAAAAATACACTTCACAAAAACTTAGTGTTTGTACTACCTCATCTTTCGGGGTGAAATTTTCACCATTAATTCCTTGGGAGTGGAAGGAAAATCCTGTTTTCTACTTTGAGGTTTTCTTTTTATAAACATAAGCAAAGAGAAATTAAACTGGGGACTGAGTCTCTCAGTGTGTATGTATGCTAAGTGCCATTTTTCAGCCTCAGCATTCTGATTTTACATAGAGACACACAGGAGGTAAAGCATCAAAGTATGAAAAAATCATTAGCCATACACCTGAAACATAAAGTTCTTTTAGCTCTGTATTTCAGCCAAAATAGTGAAACGGCATGAATCCATTGGTTTTTTTCCTCACTCATCAAAACCAAGTGTTTATTGGTCCCTTTCCAAATTGCTGAATTTTGTTCTTAGAGGAAAGTCAGATCTGGGCAATATCCTGGCTTCTTCCTTACAAGACAGCCAATCTGAAACGGGCTTGAGCACAGGTAAGGCCTGCAGTTAGCCTCTTCCTACTGCCAAGGAAAACCAGCTTAAAACATCAGGTCAATGTCTGAACCCAAGGTTATTCTCAATTTTGGCCCTTCTGTGTATCAGTAGATATATATATAAAGCTTAAAAAGGCAGAAGCTGGAAACTTCCATTTGAAATATGCTCACAGTCCTAGCACACCTATAACTATCACTGACAAACATCCCAATAGCTCCTCAAAGTAATGATACCACATTGTGTAACATCAAATAGCTATTTATACAGCTACTACTACAGTATCAAGGGCTTTCAACAGAAGAAAAAATGGAAAAAAAAACAGAAATTAACTGGGACCATTTGTTTTCTGAAGAACTGAAGACTGCTTCAGAAAAAGTGCTTACACCTCTTGTGAAATTACAAGCACTCACCAATACAATTTGCGAGTGACAGGAGTAAGTCAACATGTTGCACAGAGCGCGAGAAGTGAAATAAAGCAATTATTTCTATTTTTATAAAGTAAGTGTTACAGAACTGTTCATCGTTGTGAAAAACAGACACCACTGAACCAGAAATTGATTCAGTGCTGGGGAAATACAACATTTGACACCAATGAGTCAAGATATATACATGATGTTCAATGCAGCCTTTCTACTGCTTTTCTATTACTTCAATCTGTTTATTTTCCTGGCCATATGAAATTAGCTCTAAAGTGGTTCTAGTTTCCTTCTGCTCACATCACACAGAGTTCCCATGGCACAGCAAAAGCTTTTGGAGGGCACTTACCAGCATGAAAGAAGAGAAGATAGAAAACATTTCTCAAGCTCTTCATGGTGAAAGTTTTGGGATCTGTGATTTCTTTTTCAGCCTTCAAAATTCCCAGAGATCAAGGCTCCTGCAAGAATGCTCCCTCCAGCCTGGTTTTAGGTGAAAATCAGTTGTGTTCAATTGCAGTTCGATGCACTCTGTTCAGCAACAAGCCCTGCTTACCTCCGCATGCCTCACCTCGTAAGGAGTACAGGAAAAGAAAGCTTCTCCTCACACTGCCTGTACACTTGAAAAAAAATATCAGACCTGGAAATTGCAACATATCTGCGGCACCAATGAGGTCACTACTGCCTTGGCACCACCCACAGACTTCATTCACTAAATTGCTACACACCGGCACACGGGGGTGGGGTAGGGCTGTGGAAACACATCCTTGCTCTGTGGTCTGTGTATTCCCTATACCTGGGGCTCAGGAAGCAGGAGATTCAAGGGAAGCAGTTAATCTGGCAGAGTAGACAGTCACTTGATGCCACATTCTCAGCATTGTCAAAAATTGCTTAAAGCCATCATTAAAAGCCCAGGCTCTTACAACAGCAAAGCCTGTACACTATACAGGTGGGTACAGCACATGCCAAGTGCACATTTCCTGAAATTTAATAGCAATTGCTATAAAACAGCTGAATCATTCTGGCTTATTTTAAGGTTTAAGAGAAGGCCTAGGAAGGATTCTCTCCCAGAAAGAATCAAAACTGCTGGCAGTAGCTCTGTTAAAAGCTGCTGTGAACTTTAGTGTAACTTCACAGAGCAATCCTCATTTGTGCTGCCTTTTTATTAATTTCTTATTAGTCAATGAACTGCAGCTGCCTGTAACACTTTGCTTAGATAAAAGCTGCTCAGAAACAGAAGGGCTGTGTGATGTGAGTCCTCACACCCAGGGAGGGCATGAGCCACGCAGCTCTGTGCATCCCCCTGTAGGTCCGGGAGTGTGGCATGATGCCTCCAGCACTCATCAGCTACCTGACTGCAGTTTGGCAACTCTGACTACACCTGTAAGACAACAGCTGAGTTAATTAATTGCTATTTCAAGTTTAGAATTGCAAAAAATAGAGAATGATCTCTCCAGACTTTCTTCCCAAACAAAGCTTTATGGTTGAACTCTTGGCTCCCTAGACCGTCTGGAATTAATTGTCCCTTTGCTGTCTGAAGTGTTAAAGAATAACCCGGTACCACTGGAGTATTTCCAAATGTTTTCAAGGACCCATTGCTCAGATCCTTCCTGTGCCCTTCCTACTGGCCAGATTAACATCTGAAGCCCTCTCTCCCTGATGTTTGCAGAAGGGTTTACATTCATATGGAGATGACAAGACCGACAGTCCTAGTACCAGTTACTTAAGACTGCAAGGGCAGGATTAGTAAAACATGAACCAGGTACCAGGGGTCTCCTGTGGATCCTCTAAAGGAATGGTTCAGAAGGCAGAGGAGCAGCCTTTTTGTACAGGAGGTCTATTCCAAACCCAGCCCCCTCTAAACAACCACACAAGCACAGTTTGTCAGAATTTAAGTAATTTTTCTATTTGATTCTTAACTCTTGAGTATCTGTGCTTTAAGTTTCTTAACCCAGTTTTCAGCACAATTCAGCAAAAATGCCAACAAAGAAATAATATAACTTACAATAATAATATAGGGTAGCAAATACTTCATCAAACATGTGTCTGTATAGCAATTACAAATAGCTGGTTTATCAGGCAGGAAGAAAACCCACAATGCCTTCACTCGGCCAGCAAAAGAGTTGTAATACAGCAGTATGATGCCATTTGTATTTCCTAATTACTCTAGTTGTTAAATTAGAGGCCTTTAGCAAAATACACATATTGTAAAACATAACTCTAAAACACAGAAAAGTGTACCCAAGAATCAGAAGATATATCAGTACTTGATGCTGGAAAAATGAGACCCAGAGAAACACTAAGTAATGCAAAACCCTGACAATTACACAAGTTAAGACAACAAGGAGCATCAGGGCTCTCAGAATCAACTTTTCTGCCAGTGTTCAAAGGTAACACTGGAAACAAACAAAACTAAAAACACAAAGCAAATGCTCCAGAGTCCTTTGAGATATCTTGATCTGAGACTTGTTTTCACACCCGCAAGGCTGCTGTGCAAGGTAACTGCTGCGGACTTCAGTCAGAGTGTGTTTGGTGACACCTGGCTACTACAGGACAAGTGCCTGGGGGCAAAGTTCCCCGACAGCTGCTCAGACACTCCAACACATGAAAGAGCAATTCCTCACAGACCTGCTCAGCTGAACAGGGCTCTTTCTGATGGGTTAAAAAAAAGAGGTAAAAAGAAGTGTATACAATGCAGAGATCTCAGATGTGTTTGCAGATTTGATATATTCATATCCTTCTGTTTTTTTTTTTTTTAGAGTTACTCTTTTAAGATGTCTCACAAGACACCTCAAACAATCAGTCACTTTCAAAAACACAACAGTACACTTCCAGCTGTCTTAAAAATTTATGACATTATTTATCAATTTGCATCAATCTAGTACACCATGCACTTTCATGGGCAGGAGTTCTTAGAAAGGCAGCACACCTGATTTCCCAGATCTTGAGAAGCAGAAATTCTTCTGGGGCATGTACCAGCAGCTTGAACTTCCTGTAAGCTGCACTAGCATCCCATGTAACATCAGCAATAATTGTGTCACAAGTTTAAACTTGCTTTTAATGCATAACTTCAGTAGCCCCAAGGTGGCCACCAGTGTTTCTCTAACACCTGATTTTTGTTTACAGTCCCAGTCAATTATTCTAAAGTGCTACAACACCTGTATTTATCAAAATTAAAAACACACTTGACAAATATATTGTACAATAAAGTTTATTAGCTGTTCTCCTCTTTCTAACAAATGGAATGGATAGTGTTGATAATTCTTTACAAACCAAAGCTGATTTGGTTGTGTGGGGATTTGACTGCCCCATGACTGTCATAAGTACATCCCTCTAAAAACAATCAGTTGCAAACAAGCAATGGCAGGTACCAGATAATACGGGAATTAGAGAATTTCATTATTGAAGGTTTTGGTACAACGTATACATAAGATTCAGCACAGAAGTTTGTGCATTGCAAATGGAAGATCTTGTGCCTGTGCAATCCGAGACGAACACGTACAGAAAAAAATATATTGTTGACTCTGAATTCTCCCTTTGGTTAAGACATGCATATTATAAAGGGGACAGAGGAAGACAAACACCCAGAATTGCGTAGAAAAGAGGAGAACTTGCATGTATTTTTTTCTTGTACTAATATTCCCTGGACTTCATGCCCAGCTATCACAGCCCATTTGATTTTTCCGTGATTAAGGAAGGTAAATTCTAATTTGTTTTTTTTTAATTTTTATTCAAAACAAAAAGCTAGGAGTAGGTGGTAAAAGAAAAATATATATTTTATATATATATTTATACGTGTGCGCAACTATGTAAAGAAAATAATTCCCATAGTTACAGAGTTTAGTTAAAGAAAGTTTAATATATATATATATTTATTATAACAAAATAGGCAGTTATTGTGGGTAAAATATTCATTAAAATCTGACCCCTAAGAACACACACATCTTTAGGCTATGAATCATTCTCTCATTGCCCTAATGACCATCTCTGCAGCTGTTTTCTGAATTATTGCCAATGCAAATTTGGCATTCCTCTGAAAAATACAAGGTTTCCTAGCACCTAAACATATTTTTAGGCTCAAAAAGTGTGACGACCATTATCTATAAAGAATTTCTGTAATACACTATAAATAGTGTTTCATGAGGAAGATTAAAAACATTACACATCTTTGTCCCTAGCAATTTTATTGGCAAAAAAAATGAAAAAATAGATTTTAAGAATATCCATATGAAATTATGAAAATTAATATCCCTTTAGGAGTAGTAATGGGACTTAATGAAAATGCTAACTCAAAATTTAAAAGTTTCTTTCTAACTGCCTGGAAAGAAAAAAGATACCGTGACAATAGGATTGAACTCAAAATAAAACCTGAAATTGATTGCCCTGACCAAACCATGCTATTAAAGTTAAGCGTGCAAAGTTACTCATAATTTACAACTTCCTTGAATACAACTTTTCTTTCAATTGTTATGAAATTTTAAAAGAATGTCTATAAAGCTTTTTTGAAAAATCTTTGAAAGTTACTTTCCCTTAAACATTAAGGAATTTTACCCAGCAATTCCCTCCCACCCCCACCCTAAACTAATAGCTGGTCAGGCCATTCCACTGTCATGTTTGAAAAATGGCAAACCAACAACACACAATAATACAAATTATTTAAACTAAGAGAGACACCAAATGTAAAGCATTATGGGAACTGCAGAATGTGATGGTTAGGGTATGAACCACGCTGGAAAGAACTAGAGGCAGGCTCCACTGGAAGGGCTTAAGAGTCGTCAGATGTAGTAGGTGATGTAGTTAGAAAATGAAAAATAAAAATCTGTTTTCATAATTTTTCCTTTGCTGGAACCCAGATGTAAGGACCAGACTGTTCCTCTATGATCTGTTTCACTTGGTTGTAGATTTCTTCCAGAGTGTCTCCCTGGACAATAGCTGCAAAATATAATGTGGAAGTCAGCAATCATCCCTCCCATTCCGTGCAGAAGCCAGGCTGCTCCTTCCCCTCCGAGTGGCAGGAGGATTTCCGACTGCTGAAGGAACAGACTCCTGTGGACACTCCTGGTTTCAGGGCTGGACTGAAGCAAAGTCTGGAGGACACACAAAGCACTTCCTTGGGGACAGGAACAACCTTTTCCTAGACACAGGTTCCAATTTGCCTGAGCCAATTCACATCCTCCAGTATTCTTTTTGGCCCAACTTTCATTTGTGTTTCTAACACAAGGCACGACAGTGCAGGGCTGTGTCCTCACAGGCTGGTGAACTCCTCAGCTCTGTCCTGAAGCTGCACAGCAAGGCAGGCTGACCTCGAGATGTCTACCTAGCTCTACCTCTGCCTTTGGCTAAAAAAAGGAGGAACTCATGGAGTTTGTTGTCCAGAGAACAGATTCAAGTTTTATAGACAAGAGGCTTCCTTATACAGTTAAAAGTGCAATCTATACTCATTCCTATCATGTCAGTTGATATATTTTTGCCAAGGCTAGAAATTAACTAGAAATTAGCCAATATGGATGTGTTTTGACATATCAGAATAAAATATGGTCTGGTGAAAATGAAGTTTGAGCTGTTCTTACCAACACTTCAGCCTGGAAAAGCAATCACTGTGAGAAAGCAACTTCTTTTTAATTAGTGTCACAATCTCAGCATCAATAATCCAAGAAGTAAAGTTTAACATGAAAGACAGTTTTGGAGGCAGGTCAGACTCACTCTTCTGTGCATTAATAGAGTAGTGCTGCTTCTGAGATTTGCTTTTGTGCAAATTAGTTCCCTTTTATTCCTACCATTCCATTCTTATCTCTTAAAAACCTTCTCCCCATCTGCAGCTCAATGCTGTACTGCCTGTGGGAGGAGGCTGCTCCATTGTTACAGGCCAAGTATAATGTTCACAGCACAACAGTGCATGAGAAAAATTAGAAATGTCTTTGCAAAGCAAATAGGCCATAAGCTTTAGTATCTTCTCTCCAGCTAAGTTCAACCACACCTTTTCCAAACCTCAGTAACCTCAAAGTTGAATAAGGATGTGCTTTTTTTAAGTCGCTGGAAACAAAACTTTCTGATGAAGCTGGAAAATGTCAGAAAGTCTTAGCGTTTTTAAAACCTAAATTAAGCTCCCAGTAAATTTTTGTCTATTTTTTATATTAACTGATCAAAGGAAAATCAGTGTAGAGATATGAAGATAGCTCTATACCTCAGAGTAATCACAGATCATCTGAAAAACAAAGCTCCCTATCTCAGTGGTTAGGCAAGTACTATTTTTACAGCAAGCCATAAAATTTCAACTCAGGCAAGTGAGCAGTCACAAGCAAAACACACCTGTGAAGTGTTCAGTAAATTCTTGCTCCAGTTTCGTGGCCCTCTCAAATGTCTTCCTGGCTTGCTCTTCCGTTAAGCGTTTATTCATTTCCCTGAAAGTGCAAATATTATACCTTTTTAAAACCAATATAAAATACTTGGAGTCTTTAAGGTTTTAAACTGTTGTTTGAATATTAATCCTAATAAAAGGATTAAATCCTAAAGACACCAAGCAAAGACTGTAGTGGAAACTGTTCTAGCATTATGTTGCATGGAATTGAAACAATTTTGTTTTCAAGCACTTTAATTTGGATTAGAAGCCCCATCTTAAAGTCTCTAAAAATTAAATTCAGGGAATTAAATAATATTTAAAACACACACATTACAATTGTCTGCATATAACTTTCAGTTGGCTTTTCAAATACAACAGTCTCAAACAACTTAGCTTGAGGTACTTTATTTTTACTCACATTATATTTTCCACTGTTTTGGGTTTAATAAAAATGGAGATTGGGTAGAGCTGGGCAATCTGCAACCTTTTGATCGCATTACCAGAAACATCAAGAATGCAATGTTTACCCTAAAAAGTGAGAGAGAAAGGAAAATGGCACTAAGCAAAGTTTAAGTCACAAGTAGCATAGTATAATAATTAAGAAGAGAAAACATGTCTCCACTGAAAGCAAGAAAATTAGAATATTTGCATCAGTGGTACTGTGATTTTCACCACTGTGGCACAAGGTCCCCCAATCTCCTCTACTGGATCACACATCACCTTTCTTTCTTCATTCCTTTCTTCATCACAGCTTGCAGCCCAATCAGCAATGCAGAACCATACAGTGGAACAGTTGGACTTCAACTATACCACCAAAATGTTTTATTTTGCTTTGCTTTGGTACTAATTTGAGGATGCTTTACTGAGGTGGCCATGTCACAGATGTGGTTTAGAGAGGAGCCAGATGACTTAACTGGCACACCTGAGGAAGTGCCCACCCCTGTTGACCTGGAAATATGCCACCATATTCCGGTGGAACTGCACACCAGCCCTCTCCTCCCCCAGGTACCAACCAGTAAAAATACAACATTGGAGATGGCGAATGCAATTTATTTGTGTTGATTTGTCATTCATCTCTTGAGAAACAAGTATCCCTTGCCCATTCCTTGGGCACCTGGAAGACAGTGTGATAAGGTTGTTTTCCTCCCCGTCTCTATTCTCCCACTAATATGAATTTTCCAACTTCTCCTGTTCTCAGCAGCTTTGATCTCAGATATGCTCACTTCCACCTCACACTCTTTTACTTCTTTCCTTTCTGAATGGCATAGGATTAATTTTGCATACTGTCTGAAATTACTGACATGCTTCTGCTTCCTGGCAAAAGAAATAACAAGGATCATTTACATTTGATCTCTTTCCCACAGAATCAGAATTTTATTTCAGGAATTTTTAAAGAGCAATGTTCTTCCCACATGAACAACATATATATCTGTTTGCTTTCAGCTAATGGTAGCTGTTTCCCATTTCCAGTCCATGGATCTGGATGCCAACTGGCAACATTTAAAAAAGATGTATGTCCTAGCAGAGTATTTTACATGTGCTGATCTGTCCACATCTTTAAATGTGGCACATGCTCCAAGAACTGAGAATTAAGAGCATTATTTGAAAAAGAATAAAGGACATAGTAAAATACTATTTGCTGTGTTTGGCCCAACAGCTTTAGCCAGGAGCCAAAGGATGGAAGGCTAGAGAGCCAGCACAGTACCTGTGCTGGACCTTATGGGATATAACCATGACAGTTTATTCCAAATCAACAATGACTGTGTATTAACTGTAGCCTTGAGACAGAGATTTGCAAACTGCTGATAATTCCAAAGGAAAGAGGGTATGAAGATTCTTTCCAAGTGAAGATTTGAAAGACAAGGAAAAGAAACACAAGTACATTGTGATACAAGCATGTTTTCATCCAGGGAAGCTATTTTGCTCTTTGCATACTGCATTTAGAATAATATTTGATATATTTTAGTTCCTTTATTGCACTGCATCTGTTTGAGAAGCACCGCACAGCAGCCAGTGCCTTCTATAACTGAACAACAGCATCAGAAAGCATCTTCAGCTGTGCCCGTTGTGAGCAAGGAAATGAGAGAGACAGGGATCAGCTGGAAGCATGGGCAAATGAACACAACTGAAGGCTATTTTAAGAATACTGTTTCTGGTTCTTTTGGGGTAATAGCAGTCACTTGTGTTCTGTCTTCTCCTAAACTGATTGCAGAAAGTTTGGAAATCATCTTTTGTATCCCAGCAATAAAACCCACTGAAAAGACTGATCTTTTCAGCAAGATGGAAAAGAATACAAGGGTGGGAATAGTTTCAGATCAACCAGTATGCAGCCCTGCCATGATTTTGAAGTACAGTTCTGAAGGACAGACTATTGTTTCCCAGAAAAATAATGTCAGCTGCAACTAAGAAATTGCTGCATCTATCCAAAGTCCGTGGTGCCTGTGCAAGAGATTTAACTGCTAATACTTTGTTCTTTGTGTCCATTTATGAAAAGTTCATAGCAATTCTGTACCTTACTAATCCCCACAGATGGGCAAATAAGCAGAGCCAATTTCAGGTGCAGGATGGAACTGAAGGATTTTATTTGTGTTACCAAGTAAAGCAACTGCCAACAGATTTATAATGTTTAAGCTATTTAATAATTTCATCATTTAGCCACATATGATAGTTTCACAGCTTTGTTCAGCCTCCCATACAAAACACTGTGTATTTACTTGAACAATTCTGTAATTAATATTCTTTTCTTTCCTTTTCTCACTATATCCCATGGGGCCAGGTTCCATTCCATATGGTGACAAAGACAGGAGAAGGAAACATCACTTGCCCCACAGAATCTCACTGTGTTTGCCCTTGTTTTGCTTCCAGTAAATTCAGTTGCCAGAAATAGCAATACTCAACCATTTGGTCAAAATGGTCTACAGAGTTTTCCAGAGGACTGAACTACAGCCCTGTGGCACATGGGTTACTACCCACACTTACTTTCTGCATGCGCAGAAAACCCTTTTGAGTTCCCACCTAGAAAATAGCTGGCCCTTCTTTCACAGAGATCAGTGAGCACTGGCTACTGTAAATGCACTGGATTCACCAGCAGCAGAACAACACTCATCAACTCAACATGGAACATTTGCAAAAAATTTTCACCACATGATTTCCTTTAAGACAAGCACTTTACTCTCAGAAATACACTTCCCTTTTCCCACTTTTTTCAGACAGATCAAGACAACTTCAGTAAGACTTTAGAAATAATTAGAATTTGCAAGAAATAGTTTGAATCACTTTGGGATAGAAAGTGATAGTAGGGACAATCTTCAAAATACATGAATAGCTATGGAAAAATACATTAAAAATTGAATTCTTTACATTTACTCTCTTCCCTTTGTTAGCTAAAACCACAAGGAGCACAAAGAACAACATTTTTGCAAGTTTTCTTTTGCACAGGTCTATGCCAAAAGGATCCTCATATTAATTAACTCCACCAGCACTACTCCTCATTAATGATCTGTATATGTGAGCTAGGCTAATTAGCCCATAATTCTAATTACTTCTTCTATTTTCTCTTTAAATGAAAGGACACATTATGGTTGCCCTTTTCCCACAATTTAATCCTGGTGCTTTCATTATTCCAAAGCTTCATTATTTCCCTAAATACATCTGTGACAATACACTTTGTTTCTAGTCTTATATAAATTCCTTTAAAAGTCAGAATGTTCCTAATGGCTTCTTGCCATTCTTCTCTTTTTTCCTGTCACACAGGCATATAATCACCCCAGCAAATGAAAGTAAGTGGTACTGATTTACCTTTTCTGCTACTTCTCGCACTGATTGGACACTTGTTCCATAAAGATGATTATTGTACTGGCCAGCTTCAATGAATTTGTGATCCTGAATATCCTTCTCCATTTGCTCTCGAGAAGTGACAAAATGGTAATCACGTCCATCCACCTCATAATCTCGTTTTGGTCTAGTGGTATCTTTAAATATAAACCAGCAGTTTTTAAAGCAAAAAAAAAACAGTGACTTTTTTCCCTACAATATCCAAAAAGCCTCCTATTTATACTCCCAAAATTGTCACAAAGAGATTGATATTAAGATATGTCTATGAAGTTTAAACAATCTATTAACTTTTTTTTTAATCCAACATGCAGAGAATGTCTATAAAAAATTAAAAGAAAAATATAATCTAAAATTGCTTTAGTATTTGCTGAGACTTACGTGGAACACATGAGCCAAATTTGTCTGGAAATTCTGAGATCAGGTCATCATTTATTCTGTCTTTCATGGGTCCCAAAACAATCACAGGTCGAGTGTAACTGACTAATAAACATAAAGGAATAATGTCAGTTGTATTTCATATAACTGTTAATTTTTAAGAGTTCACCAAAATAATCTCTCTCACATAGCAATGATTTTAATACTTAAAAGAATATGTACTTCTTTTCAATAAAAACACATTGAAGAACATCAATCAGTTTGTACCATAGTCATAGTAAGGTGTTAGACTTTCACTCTCAAATCACCATTCTCAGTGATTGAAAATGAGTATTAAATTATGAAGCCTTTGGGAAAAAAACCTTCTCACAAACTAACATCCTAAATTCTAATGGAAAAAATGAAAGAGGGGAGGTTTGAAAATCTTTTCAATTCAAAGAGGCACCTAAGTAGCAGCACAGTTCATAAAATTCTGTGTCTGTGTTGGGAGAAGCTTTTCCTCCAAGACCACAATTAAGCACTCACATACAAAATTACTCAAATATAGTTTCTGTAACTATTAACACCCTTACAAAATTAAGTGTAGTACCTTTTGAAAGTATACTTATAATAAAGGGATTTTGGTTGAAAATTAAGCAGATTATGTCTAATCACACTGTAAGAACTTTTAAGACAGTAATGCCTAAGTATGTTGCCATGATCATGTAATTTCAGCAGTACAAATTTTAATTTTAGGTTCAATCTGTCTGCACAAATAAGTACCAATTAAATAAAGCCTGGCGTATTAAATATATTTTAATTTGACTCAGAGCTATTTCATTTCCTTTTTATTACTATACTTATAAGAGGAATGTCTTGACTCTAGTATCTATTAACTTATTAACTAAGTAAGAAACATCTTTGCCGTTTCTCCCTTCGTGAGCCCCTCTGGTGAGGGGAAATGGTTCCACTGGAAATCAGTAAAAAGCAATTTTTTTAAATGCAAGTGTAAGAAAATATTTTCTCCTAGTGGTTTCCATTTCATTAAATTTTACTTTTTTCTGGAGAAAATCCCTTGGCAATTATTAACCAGATTAACCATATAGGAAAACCATGCAGAAATGGGAGACTGATTAGAGACATTTCAATTGAAGTTGGTAAATAGATGAATGATCTATTCACATGCTTTTTGCTGTGACAGAAACAGTGAGAATGCTAAAGCAATATGAAACAGAGGAAAAGTATAATTTTTGAGGTTCTCACTGACAAAACTGTTAAGCATACTGTACTTTCCTTCCACAATATAGCCACAAGAAATTACTGAAGTTGCACACCTTTGGATTCTGCACTAAATAATTCAGAGACTTTATTTAATAATTTATGCCTTTATGATTTATTCATTTGAATAACAATAAGTTTGAACTTTAAAAGGGTGAGGAAGTTTATCCTGGTGCTTAGTACATAAGGGCATGCAAAGCATTCTAACAATTCAGATTATTTCATACTGAGACAGATGTACAAACCTTCTTGCTGATTGACTGGTTCATATGACAACACATATTCCTCCTGGCCACCTAAAACGTAAAGGCAAAGACACATCAATGTATTTTTTCCTAAAGCAACATATTCGAAGTCAGTCATTCCATGGACTGTGATGATACAGACACTGCTCAGCAATATGCATTACAATGATACTGATGAGGGACAACTTTCGAGAGCGATGAATTGTAAAACTCACAAAGCTAAGCCAAACACCCAACTTTAAAGCATAAGACACATAGAGTAGAAATAAGTTCCTGGGGTATGCTGGCATGTCAAGCTGACATCGAGCACAAGAAGAATTCTCAAGCATTGCTGAGGTGCTGTACCCACAGCCCTGGATGCAAAGCATGCATGCTGTCATTCACTGCTAGAGCAATGCCACCTCATTGGGAGCGCTCTCCACACTCTGAAGCCAGCACTTACAAGAACATTTTTCCATATTTATACATGGCTGCCAACTATGTATGTCAAGGTGTCCATTAACGTTATCGTGAATTGGCATTTCTATAAACATCTTCAGCCACTATAATTCTACCAAAAAAGCTATGAATGTATATACTAAACAACTACTATTTTATAAATTAATTATTAAAGACAAAGTTGAAAGCAAAGAATGCTTTGGATTGTTCTCAGCTCCAGGAAGCACATTAGCAGTGAATGAAACTAAAATAACTGAGTCTTGAATTTTGACAGCTGTAGGCCTCTTAAATGTTAGTGAAAGCATTTGAAATATACCTCAGTTGCCATCTCTCTAAAACATGGTATCTCTGAGTAACATTTTTTTCAATGAAATAACTAAAAATTAACTGTGACAGCAGAGAATTTAAAATTCTGAAGATACAAGCTCAAATTACATGACATTGCTTTGATCTGAAGAAAATACAGTCCTCCAATATTTCACTTGTCTAATTTTGGAACATTCTTTGATGTTCATAAGCCGTACTTAAAACAGGCAAAGGAACATACCAAGGCTACACCACAGTTTATGTAAAAACAGAAGGCAGATGAAGGCTTTTATAAATGCATATAGAGCTTATATATATCTCGTCTTTATGTTAAAGCAAATGCAAAAATATACTTTAAATCTAAATGTTACCATTTCATTAACAGAAATATTTTTCTTATTTTGCAATAAATTTGCATTCAAACTGTCCTACAGCAATACATGAAGGAAGACTTTAATTTCCTAAATTATTGCAAGTGAGGAATACCTTAAGACAGACACAAAACCATGCAACCTGTGCATTTTAATATCTCAAAAAGTTACTCATGCAAATGGATTTTAGAAGGACAGTATATACTTTCAGAACCCTTTTTAGGCTAGGGAAAGGAATAGGGAATCACCAGCTATCAACTCATCTATGAAAGATCCAGCTCACATAGAATTAGATACTTTGGAGAAATCATATTGCTATAAGGTCAAAAAGTAGTTATGCACACTACTAAAGAGAGAAAAACAGGTAAAAAGTATCCCCTGATGAGGGCAAAAAGTATATATTGTCACTGCTTTTCAATACTTTGGAAAAATTAGTATTAATAGAATGAACCTTTTGAACAACCGTACTCATCTGTAATCAAGATAACTTTCATATTAGACAGCAGTAAGAAGAAATTAAAAGAATATTTTAATAAAAGTGCTCAGAATTACACATTGAGATAAACAAATCCATGACATCCATAATAAAATCATGGTTTCTCAAGTAACAATAAAGTAAAAAACTAACTAGTAGTACCAATAACGAGCTTTAAATGTGAATAAAGTGAGCTCTTAGAAAAACCTTGGAAGTGAGGGAAGCAGCAAATTTGTGAAGAAACACACATGGTTAGATAGCTTTAATGGTGTGTCATTAAAAACAATTAAAATTTCTGTTTATCAAATGCAGCTTCCATATGTGCTCAATTCTGTGTTATTCTCAGGGAACACAGAAGCCTCCCTCAATTAGTTTCTTTTCAATTGCAGTCTGCAACACCACCAGCATTTTGCATACATGTATATACATTCTCTCCTTCAGTGTCATCATCTGGAAGAAAATATGTGGCTCATTACCTCTGAAAACATGGACAGCCAAACAAATATGTCTGTTAATGAACCACCTTCCTTATTATCCTGACACAAATTAGGTATTTCTGCAGTGCCCATTGCACAGCAGGCAGCCAGGAGCTCAGTAGGGAACCACTGCTTGACTTTCACTGCTCCTTCTTTTCATGTTTCTCTTCAAATCCTCCACTTTCCTACTGTCCTGCTCTGCTCTACCATGGCTTCTAGGTCTAGACAGGAACCTTACTGGGGAGCTGTTCACTAGAAATTAATAGTGGGATTCAAGTCCTTGCTGTGGTTTAAGACATGTCAAAACAGAGCAGAGCAGCACCATGCAGCCTATTACCCAGCATGAGCATGGAGTGCTACTGCAGCTTGGGTAATAGAAAACACTACTGGAGCTTATGCTAGCAGTAAAAGCAAACTGAGTGTGGTATTTAGAACACACTATGTCTCCAGAAAGAGAGAAAACTAGCATGCTGAATTATCAAAACTGACTCCAGCACTGAATGTGTGTCGTATGCTTTGAAGACAGTTCATACTAAGCACCCACACTTGACAAAATAAATGAGCTGAAAGCAAGGGTAAATACATGTTTGCTTATCTGTACTTTCATTGACGTATATACATATTAAATCTTTAAAATCTGTGAAAAACTTGAGATAGTTACAGCATTATTTAACAGATTATACTGTTTGGTTACACTTCCAGTATTAAGGCTCAGCTGCATATAATAATATTTCAGCATTAAATTTACACTTATATTTAACAGGTCTAGCTAGCTTGTATAATTTTTTAAAAATTAGTAGATTCAAATTAAGTTGAACTAAGAAAATCACAGACAACAATAAAATATCCATAAAGGAGGTTCCCAGTGATTCTAGGGAGTTTTTTAAAAACAAAGACATGGAACAATTTGCAGTACTCCACCAAATACACAAATACAGATTTCACCTGAAGCTGACTGGGAAGTTTTATTTAACATGTAAATACCCAGAAAAGACAGACAGACAAAACCAAAGAAAGAGCTACAAAACAAAGGTTCTGAATAAACAAAGAACTTAAAAACACTTACGGTAACTACTTTCACTATCGCTGGCATTAGAGGTTACATGCTCTGAAATTGCAACACAATGGGAAAAAATAAGGAACATACACCAATGGTATGAGTCAAACAGAAAGAAAATTGACAAAAAATAATCCAGATGAAAGACAATACTCATATCAAAGTGCTGAAATCAATACATACTGCATATAAAAGTTTTAACGTACTTCTCATAGCTCTCAGGATCAAGCTTAATTTCATATGAAAGGAATTGATGTTAATAAAAAGAAAAACATTAAATAGCACATAAAATAAGATTACAAAAAGTACACTAATTCATAATTCACATGTAACCCTGCAATTTTTAAGTGTCCACTTCAGGATGAATTTTGTGTAAAAGCCTTGGGATTATGCATTTCAAGTTTTATGCAGGAAATTTATTGATTACATTTAGTCTCTTGTAGAGAAAATACTGGATTATATTAGAGGAAATACAGTGTAGCATATAACACAACTTGCATAAGGTATGATAAGGCAGTTTTTAAGTCTGCTGAAAAACAGACAAGAAACACGTTCTGTTTATAGAACAGAATCATCTAGAGATAGTTCTGAAACATATTACATAGTTCAAACTAGGTATGATCCTAAGGCCATAAAGGCAGCTTATGATTTATGTTGTAAACCATAAGACCATAAAGGTTGCTAAAATCTTCTGGTCTAGACCAAGAATTCTTTTGAAAGTAGCCATTTCGGAACTGAGAAATTAATGCTACAGCTACTAGAATTTCTACTTCACAATTGAGGACAGGTACAGAAGTACACTGGCCCTTACAAGTAATTTCAAAAACACTGTGCCTTACAGTTATGCCTTGGGAAGAAATGCTATCCTTAATGGCCCTGAGCCACATCCCTTTAGAGACTCCTTTTCCTATTGTGTAAGTGCCTAACAGTGCATGTATTTCTGTGATGAAAGCAAGGTCTTGGCTTTTTTTATTTGCCATTTTAATACACTTAGTGGTGGGGTGTGTACGCACAAACAGTTCTGCTAGGAGTACACAGCAACTTTGAATCTGACTGGGTTCAAATAGAAATACAAGAAATGCTTCAAGTCATACCTATCAGCCCTCTGCCTGGTCTAAAATCATCATAAGTGTTCAAAATAGAAAATCTCTCCTGGCATTTATTAAGAAAAAGTTATGTTTGCTTTAAGTAGCTGTAAATAGCAGTCGCCTAGAAAGAGGAGTGAAAACTTACTAGTTAAAGTAGCACAGCAGTGGTTGTACTGTTACTGTAAAGAGCTATAAGGTTATTTTTAAATAAATAAAAATATGAGGACAAGATATAAGGAACATTAAAAAATAATCACCAAATTAAAAACACAGCACTGTTAAGGACAAACAAGAAAGCACTGGTAAGCTTCTGAAAACAAAAAAAATCTAATGTGACAGTCACATAAACTTTACATGTTCCTGAAAGCAAAAACTCCAAAAGATTACAAACTAAGAAAAGCTTATGAACCAATTTTCCAGTTTTAGTCAACCTCCTTATGCCAGTAGAGCACCAATCTCAAAGAGATCTGTCAAAAAAAAAAAAAAAAAAAGTAATTTTCCAGATGGAGGTTAAAATAACTTGGAGTATTTTGATCACTTACTCAGGCCTTTTGATCCCATGTCGTCAGGGACCTCCTGCAGAGTAGTCCCCAGAGGGCAAGCAATAAAAAGACAATCACAAAGAAAATAATTGTCAGTAATATATAAAATTGGCGCTACGACAGGAGACAGTTCCTAGAACATCACAGGGAAAAATAAGTCTACAGAATTTGACTTGACTGGCACATGAAGTGCAATCAGTAATGCAAATGGCAGAGAACACAGTTTGTTTTGAACCCGGTCTGAACTAGCAAATTTATGCAACTACATTTTGAGAATACATTTTTTTAACTGCTGGCAAGAACAATGAAAATCAGAATAACCTCTCTTCATTAGGAAAATCAAATTAGAATGAATGACTTTGAAAAATCAGTCTAAAAGGACTGATTTGAGAAGCTGGTAAGCTCCATTATACTTTCATGAACACTGTGCCTTTTCCAAGTCAGAACCAGGGAAGCATCACTGACAGCACTGGAAGCAGTTACCACCTCCGGTTAGTCAACAGTATTTCTCAGTTTATTCCAGACTGGGATACTCTTCTGCTGAGTTTTATTTTAACAGCAAATAAAGGTTTGCACTGTTTTTGTAGCCTGGTTTGCCACTGGCACCACGAGCTCCTCAGCCTGTTGCAGCTCATGAAACTGTCTCCATGGTAACACCCTAGTGCAGTCTAGCAGGCCCTTCTACTGTGCTTCGCTCTCCATGGAATGCCACATACTTACGGTCAATATCACTGGTTTCCTGCTCACTCTGGTCCTTGTTCTTGTAGAAGGGAAATTTTCGGGAAAAGAGGTTCTTTTTACGCTTGTCATTGAATGACTGCTGAAGAAGAGAAGGAGGGGCAAAACAAAGGATGTCTAATGTCTGTGTGAACAAAGGCCCAGAGCAGCAGCTTTGCGGAAGCTGACTCCTACAACCACATTATGCAGTGCACATCTCACTTTAACACTCATCTTCTCAGCTCTTTAGAAATAGAGACTGGGATTATGACTTTGCTCATATCCTCCATGTTTCACATGCTTAGTATTGAGAAAACTAGTTCATGCTATAGAGCCTGACCTTTATTTCACAAATTTAGGCTTGCTCTGAGTGTTAAAAATAGTGGAAAACTAGGCTGCTGCAAGATGGCCAAACCATAATGACTCAAAGTCAATTAAATCACTGATATTATCTCATTTAGGGGTTACAGTATTAAAAAAAAAAAAAACCAAAAAAAACCACCACAACCAAAAAACCAAGCTGAGGCTTTTGCAAACAGCTGATATTATAACAGAACATCAGAAGTATTGGGCAGTGCTACTAACCAACTAAAGAATCTCCATAACTTGTATCAGTGTAGGACTTAACTCTGTTCTATGTAAGTCTGCATCCAAATATGAAGATTAACTTGAAAAGACACAAGCTAATTCTATTGGTTTACTGTGGCAATTATGTTTTTCAAGAGTGCACTTATAATTACCTCATGAAAAACCCTGTATATCAAGGATCATGTTCAGCAGCTTTTGACATCAACTGCTCGTGTTGCTGAAGATTTTCTGCATCTCAGTTGCTACAAACATTTCTAGAGTTACTTACATCCATATGAATATAAACTATTATTGTGCTCCTTGAACAAGTGATGCAGAGCATCAATGCGTTTTCATTCCTATATAGGTATATCTATATGTAATAAGCACAGATTTTAGTAATATCTGCTATATCTTCTGTTGAAGACATCACATGACTACAGCACCTTTAATTTGATGTCCCAAGTCAATAAAAAAAAATCTTAAAGAATAAATAAATCAGTAATGTTTTAATTGCAATTATGGCCAAAACTAGAGCTAATACAGCTAACTTGAAGTCAGCAGAAATTCCCTTCCCTCTTTAGGCATGAGTGACTCATCTGACCAGTTTTGCAAAGGCATAAAATTTGCCATATTTTTGTCATTTGGTTTGAAATAGAAAGGATGGCAAAATAGGAAAACACCCAACTTGGTCTTGAGACTGTGCTGTAGGGGACTATTTCTAAGCTAAGCAGAGCCTATATGCAGCAGAAAGTAAGAAAAGCACCACAGAAACATCTTTTAAAAGGTATTGTAAAAAAAAAATAATAATCATGCATTCAAGACTCTATTAACAAGTGTTTCTAAAATTTGAAGAATGTTAGCTTTCAAGTAATTGTCTTTCTTCAGCCAATGTGAGCTCACATTCCTTTATTACATGCAATACAGTTGCAAAAAGGCATATTATTCTTTCTACCAGCATTAAGCATGTAATTGATTACAGTAACAAGTAGGGGCCAAACAGGACAGAGTTTTTAAAAAAATGGACCACAATTTTTGGTACAATTGAAAACTAGCACTTGGCCTTCCTAAAGAGAATATCTATAGTTGTGCTCCTTTCCTACAGTGCAACACAAAATCTGCATCCTGCTACAGGATTAACAATCCTGGCCAGACATGCTTGGCAATAGCAGATACTTAAACTTCCAGTGATATTTTCATTACCAGCGTTTATTTTAAAATTACTTAACATTATAAGGTGTTAAAGAGGCATATGGTACCATGGGAGCACAATCAGTGACATTGAGCACTGGAAATAACAATACTGTGCTAAGGAGGAAATCCATAAAACCTTTAATTGCCTTGCATCTGTGTTCGACTAAAACTGTTGTTCCACTGTAAAAATTGGTAAATTATCAACCTGACACATAGACAGAAGATGAAATTTCAAGCCAATCATATGCCTGCAGGAACCATACTTGACACAGGCAAATTTTATGTTATGGCCCTGCTGACCTTCTCTAATAGAAGCCAAGTCACTGCAAATGACTTCACAAACGGGAAGGGTAATGTAATCTAGAGAATAAGGACAACAAAGAAGTATGTCCAAAGGAGATCCTGGCTGAGTATACTGAAAAATGTTGTATTGTAAATTCAAAAAAACAAAAGAATCACATTTATAATTATTTCTGTCAGTTTGGTAAAAGGAGATCAATGTAATAAAGCTAAAATAGTTCAGTTTAGAAGAGGTGGTGAGAATGGGGAGTCTGTACAGTTAAAATAAAAGGACTAGCTGATTTATTGTGTTTCATAATAAAACATAATCAAGTTCTTCATTATAGTTTTGAAAATATTTCATAGCAATTATTTTAACTGTCTGTACTGTAAGTTTTCCTGAGCTAATATAAAACTTTACATACTGCATGTATAATGGTTAGAGTCAGCTTCATTGCCAAAAAAAGGGAAAATTAAAGTAACATTATACTGATTTTTCATAAAAGATTAGCCAAAATATTACTTTTCAAAGATACCATGATTATAAAAAGCTAGAAGGATTTGCTTATTAGTTGAAAATGCTTAGTAATTGAACTAAATTTTTCATAAGCCCACTGGCAATTATTCACAGGCCTCATAAGCAGGAATATATTAAATCAGAAGCAGCACAGAAAATGAGATAAATGTATATATGAAAGGAACAAACAAGAATTAAATGTAACAATTTTTGCTCCAGATTTTTTACCATGAAAGAAACATGGATTTTAATGTTTGCCATCACTAGGGTTATTCTTGAAGGTCTTAATGTAGAAATTTTCAAAAACTGTATAAAATTGGTATTTCATCCTGTTTATGGAGTATTAGCACACACAGACACGGGAAGGCACATGGTCCATGAGGACATGTATGGTGCAGTCAACTTACTGGGAAAAATATCATCATGACAAATACAGGAGGTATACTTCAAGGAGAAACTCTGATGTTAAAACATACAGCTGAAGCAAAAGACTGAACAGTGTAAGTGTTTGCAAAATGAAAAGTTACTAAAGAAAAAGAACTGCAGTTCTACATCAATGGCAAGCGTAGTTGCTTTTCCACTCAGTATTCCATGCATTTCTTTGGTGCTCTGTTAGTACACAGGGACTGTGCACCAACTCTGCTTTTGCCAGAACACTACTTCAAATGCAGCAGTAATTAACTGTTTGCAGTTAATTGGTAGATACACTCTAAAATCATGCAATTATCTTTCAAATAACATGGTAACATTGGCAAAATTACTTAGTCTATTAAGAAGAATCTGAAGTATTTAAGCCTCTTTTTATATGACTTCTAAAAAGCAAACTCAAATTACCATGTCAATTGATAAAATTTTATTCAAATACCCAACTGTGAATGCACCAAAACAGAAAAATACTGCCAAATAATCCAGTAAATCTCCAGGTCAGTACCATAATTGTGAATCAGAAAGTAGTTAAAGATATTGATTTTCTTTTAAGCAATACTTATAGGAGAAAAAGATGACATTTCATTAATAACTGAAACCTTTGCCATGTAGCAGAGGGATGTATATATGAATTTTAGAGTCTTTATACTTTGCAGTTCTACACTATCGGGATATAATATTTTATGTATGCAATTTCTGAAGTTATGAAAACATTGTAACTGAAATAAATTACTAAAATGCATTTGTGGGATTTACAATAATGACTAAACAATGCTATAGCATTAATGCAATTAAAAATATAATCAGTTTTTAAGAAATAGCTCCCTCAGGAGCATAAAGCACACTTCAGATTTTTTGAAATGGCAATATATTATTAGTTTAGAAGACTCTTGCATCTAAAATACATGTGCCTAAGTCTTGAAATTACTAGTCATATACTACTGGTAGAAATGGTAAGGTTGTGGAATTGTTTCTCGAATTTCAGAACAGCCAAAACATTGCAAAAAAGTCTCACCCTCAAAACAATAACAAATTGGCTGCTGTGCCATTATGAAATGGCTAAAATTTTGGCTACAAACATTCCTATTACTAGTTAAGTAGCCCCATTTTTTTCTCACCATTCATTCCCATCACATGTGCTGTGACAGGAATCATACCTGGTGCAGAGCTGTTAGAAACAGCATTATTCAATACTTGGTTAGGATATACAGCTCCTACTACATTACAGTATTAAGAAGCATATATATTTTTATGCTAGTTCTTTGAACAATTTGCAGTGCTTTGGCAATTAAAGTCTGCTTTGGTGCTCAGAATTATTTCATTTCTATTTGATAGAATTTAGTCTTTTCACTCAAATCTGAAAGTGATTCTCCACACACAAAACCGCTGAAAAATGTTACCATTCACAATCCCAGGTGTAATTAGCACTTCATTAACTCACCCCTTTATCTCCTCTTGTTTTGGAATTGAATTTCACTGTCTTCAAACGGGCCCGTTCCTTTTTCTCAACTCTACCACAAAAACACACACAAAAATGTCAGAATCAGCAAACAGAAGCATATTGGTGTACCTTTTGTACTATACATTTGATTGCATATGACACATTCAGAAAATGGAAGCCTGCAATGGAAAGCTGTTATTTCTCAAGTGATGTGCTGTGGAACTATTTGGAGTATTTTTTGGCTATACATGTTCAATAAATCCTGAGAGTGCAAAGAGGAATCATGACACAGTAAGTGAACAGCATCAGTTATCAGTCAATAGCAGATTCAGATTCAGAACATCTAAACTCTTATTTGAGTCTCCAGTATGCCAACAAAGAACTCATCTCCATTGACTACCAAAGAATGATTTTCCAGTTTTCCAGGTTCTGGGTAGAAAGAATTCATGATAGTATCATGACTTGAATAAAATTAATTAATACTTTGCACCTTTTCATATATAAATGGTTTATTATCTGATATTAAACCTACAACTTACAGTAACAACAGAGAAGGTGGATGTGGGCCACCTTTATTAATTTCAGCACACAACTCCTAGGGCTAAATGGGGTTTTAATAAACTTTTCATTGAGTAAATGAGAATCCCACTACAGATTACTTAAAACCAAAAGAATCAAACAAGTGGTTGATGTGGTACAGGATTAAGAAAGAGAAAAGCATATACAATATATGTATTAATCTGAGCAGATGTTTAATAGCAGGCATCTCCAAGTCAATAAAATATGCCATACCTCCGTTTGCTTGGGATTACTCCAATTTCATCACTTTCTCCATCTGGAGTTACCTGCCGTGCTTGCCACCATTCATCATCAGAAGCATTAATGACATGGAGAATATCGCCAAATTTGAAGTTCAATCCTTGACTTGGAAGGCCACTATCTTTAGTCTTGTCATAATCAAAAAGAGCTCTACATTGAAAAGAAAATATTAAACATGGAAAAAAGCAAGAAAAAACCAGGAGAGTATGAATAGCATGAAATATGAAGCAAGCTGCTTATGCTATTCATAAATGATTGCATCAGCCTGACAGGTACTTACAAGAAGGATGAATACATTCTCTCATACACACACAGAATGTGTTGTACAGTACCCCCACACACTTCTAAGCTTTAATGAATGAGAAAAAACTTCATCCCGAGCGAACCATTAATGCTTTACAAAAGCTCTACAGGAGACACCTAGTGCAATTCAATAAGTACTTTGCACAGAGCAAGTTACATGTCAGCCTAGGGTAAAAAAGACAAGCAAGTATTTAAAGCATACAGCATGGTCAAAAGTTCTGTAAAGTATACTTTCGTATCGAGTTATAAATTTAAACTATTTAGTAATTCAGTACAGTTTAGTATTGTCTTTAAAATAAAAGTATCATCAGTATCCTGCTCACAGGAAAAAAAAAACAACTTAGAAATATTATCTGGTCACCATTTTGCTATTGTAGTACCCAAAGGCAGAGAACCTTATGCACATTCCTTTGGGAAGTTCCTGACCATTTTGAGAGAATCTCACCCTTTTTCCTAAGGTAAGCCTGTTTTCAAATATCACTCACAAAACCTGAGCAGCAGCTGCATGACTACAGTTTTGTCAACATACCCTCTGGCAGCAAGATTGGTTTATGCAACTGACTCCTGTTCTCCCTTTTACTTAAAAAAGCACAAATGTCTGGAAAGGCACATGGCCCACCACACTATGGAACTGATCTGCTTTACAAGTCATGTCTTTTCTGCCTTTTGGATCATTTTATACCTGGACAAGTTCCCTGAGGAAATGAAGATATCTGCAAGTCTGTTTCTCCCTGGCACAGCTGAGGGTTTAATGAGGACATGGAAATGAAAGATGACAGAAGTCCCTTAGCAAACAGCAAGAGATACTCAGGTTCTGCATTCTAAAGGACTTCTTTTACATTTGAAAATAGTTCATGAACCTCACCTATGTGAAATAAATGCTTGTATGACACAGTCAAAAAAATCCTCAACATTATTTGATTTGCCAGCTCATGTGCTGTCAGTGCTGCACCTTCTGAACAATACCAGAATTCAACTTACTCAAAACCAAGCCAAAGTAGTACCAAGAGATTACAATGTGATGATTTAAAAGGGTGTAATTTTCCTTGTCCAAATTCAGCTTGTTTCCTCATCCTAAACACTGGTCTTACATACCTTTTTCTGCTAGATATTTAATATCACAGAAATTATTAACCCATGTATGTCAAAAACTGTTTACTCCAAAATCTACTTCAGCTTAGTTAATTTTGCTTCCCTTCAGCACTAAGTGAACTGTATTTGTTTATAACCAATAACGAATTGTTTATAGAGAAAAGTAAAAATATTCTGCCAGATCAATTTATCTTCAGCATCTATTGGAAAACCACAGCTGTTTGAGACACCACGCCTTTCTTAGGCTATAAATAGTTTAAAAAAAATCCTAAAGGATTAAAGATTTTAATAAAGATTTTTAGAATATCTACAAAAAGACAGAAATTTTAAAATGGCTTCAAAATATTTGCTGTCCTGATATAAAGAGCCTTATACTTAAATCTGCAATACCTTTAGTTTAAGTTTATAACCTAATTGAGACTTTTAATTTTGAAACAGCTTGGAGGTTGAAATACCACCTTCCTTAGCAGTGAGACCTTCATAATATGATATTTTTGGTTAATTCCACTGCATACTTAAGATATCCTGATTCTTTTTTAAAAAATCAGAACCTATTTTTTTCTTAATAGCCAAAATATTGTAGGTAAGAAAATGATACAGATAGGAAGTAGTTATTCCTCCACATTTATTCTACACGTTTGTTCAAGAAACACTCTGGAGAAATATAATTTCATATCTCAAAATAAATTGCACATAATACAGTATGTACTTTAAATGCAGATTCAAGTTGTATAGATTTTCACTGAATTAATTACATGCATCGTGACATTTATTTCCTGAGATTTCTTGTTAGCATTCAAGCAATAATTTCTACCGTCTCCATTTTTAACTTCTATTTTTGAGTTTGCATATAAATTTTAAAAAGCTGTGAGCTTGGCCTAACAGCATTAACATATATGTTGACTACATGAGAGAAAATGCTCAGGAAATGGAAGCAGAAATTGATAAAGCCATTATTACCAACATGTGCTTTGCCAACTAGATAAATGGTTACACAGAGCAGGTTTTGCACAATTAAAGACAGTTTCATCAAACACATTTTCTCTGGTATAGTCACTTCAAGAAAAATAATTTTATTGGGCAAAAAAGTCAAAGCTGATGAAGATAGTTTTATAAAAATATTTAGGGTGTCACATAAGAGTGACAAAATTATGCAACTAACACTTATAGAAATACCAGGAACTGCTAATGATCCTATAAATGACCTCAAAAGCAAACAGAATTAACAAAAATTTCTTCTGATTCCAAGTGATTATCATGGCTTTTCCTGTAAGCCTGGCACATCACCAACCAAGAACTCACTTCACAGCCCAGATGATGCATTTATCTACAAGCTGGAATATAAAATGAACTGCTTCTTTTAACTTCCTGCATGGGGACTTTCATTACAGATTAAAAATGCCATGTATACATTTACTTATTTTAAGTTATAAAAACCACTTAAATTTAGTAATCCTGATCAGCTACTGCTTTGAATGCAGATCTATGGTATTTACAGTAAAGTTCTATTTAAATTTAAATGGGAAGTCCTAAAAAATATTTTCTAGAGAAAGCATCAAGTCCTCCCTTTTATTTCATTTTGTATTACTCAGGAATTAAAGAGCACTAAAAAGGCAACTCAGCTCCTCCATCCACAAGTCTAGAGAAACTGAAATTATGTTGCATATTTCATGAGTGTTATGCTTCAAAGCCAAAAATGTAATGGCTGTGTAACAGTGCAAAATTTTTCAGAGTATCTTGTTACCTGCCGCACTCATTACTTTCAGTGTCATAGGCTGTTGACTAAGTTCTACTGAAGCATTTCTTCAACAAACAAAGCAACCAGGAATCCCAGCAGCAAAAGCAGCTCTATGTTTCATTTCATTAAATATTAATTAATTTTACCACTTCACAATAAATTAAGGTCAGCTTGTAAAGGAGGTTCTCTTTTTCTGAGTTTTTCAGAAAGTTGTTTCAAATGTAATGTAATGTTTGAACTCGGAGAATACCATAGAGATAGCCCAATTCAACAGCAGACAAGTACACTTAGCCTGCTGCTAATAGCAGATCTTATTTTTCTAAAGGACTTAGTTAAAATTTTTTAGTAATTTTAAAACTGTTACATTTCTTCAGCTTGGAGACATAATTTTTGTGCTGTGATTCAAGCACAAATCAGCACCATTGTTTGAATTTGGAATGTATTGTGCTGATCAGAAAAATACACAAAGGTAAATGGAATTTTTGATTTTGAATGCTACACACATTGCAAACTAAGGCTTGCCACAGACGATGAGATGAAATATGGAACAGATTTACTGTATTATCATAGAAACTTGATACCCTGAAGGTGTCTCACATGTGCTTTTTGAATTTCCAGATGAGCATATATATCTATGTAGATATAGATCAGATGCAAACCTAGAAACACTATGAGACAATCTGTCTCAGAACAAAGACCAGAAGAAATATAAAGCAAAATAAGAGAAGATACATCAGTACATCTGAATTAGCTGGGGACAAGGGGAGTGGTGTGGGGGGGACAGTAGGATGTGCAAATGGAGAGTCAGCTGCTGCTGAATTGCTTTATCTGTATTGCCCTCCAAGGGCTGTTTCTTAAATCACTGTGCATCATTTTTTGATATAGATACAATCACAAAGAAAAACCTGCCATTTTACTTTAAATTGTATTGTCAGGCAAACACAATTGCCTTTCCCTTAATATTACATAAAACCAAAAAATGCTGTTTACAAGCAGACTAGTCTTAAAGATATCATGTTTACAGGAATACAATGATCTATCTGATTTTATTTCATAATTTGTTAACATAATTTTGAGAAAGCAGCAGAGATGATTTTCAGGGTATTATTCTTTAATAGCTTTTCTGCAATTGTGATTGAATGTCTATAAACATTTTACTAGTGGATTTCCCATTCAATTCAGCATTTTGTTACATAACTGGCATCCTTTAAGGCATATCCAAAGCCCAGCACTACTGGAAAAAGATATCTGAAGTTATTAAAATTTGCTTTGAAGTGAATTAAAAATACAGTATGACTATACCAGTGACTTATTATAAGAAATAAAGTGGGTAACTAACATGTTCTGTCAGTATCTAGCAATATGTGAAAATATTCATAAAAGTTACTTCAATGGGGTCAAAATTACATCAAAGACAAGACAGAACAGATGAGAACCCTTTCTGTGCATATAAAGCTGCCTCCCAGTCTTTGGCAGCTTTTGGTGTGATGACACAAGCAGATCCCAAAAGCCCTAGCAGCACCCTCTGTAAAGAGATGTGGGCAGAAAAGTACTTTTGTTGTGGAATTTTTGCATTTTAGATATTTGTACTGACTACCAACACTGATTATTGAGCCTCAAAAACCTTCAATGAAACCAGTCCCCACAAGGCTTCTGCCAACACCCTGGAGAAGGCTGCACGTTCTGCAGCAGCTGGCAAAGTCAAAAGCTCAACAATTTCATCAGTAGAATAAAAGCTGCATAAAGATAAAATGCTTGTCAGTGGGTCAAAATACCAGATGTGTGAACATGTGCAAAAGCAGTTTAGAATCTAATCAGGGTATAGCTAACCAAGCAAAACAGAAGCATTTAGAATTGTTTGGGCTTAGGTATATGATGACAACTAAAGCAATAGATCCTGGGATTATGGAAATGAAGATCTTGGCCGAATATGTTAATGTACACTTACCTACCTGTGCAAATTCAAAGATACGGATAACTGTGGGCTCAAGCACTGACCCTTACTATTTAAGGCATTTATTTTTAGAGATTTAAACTTTGACCCCCAAATATTTAAGGCAAACAGAAGTAGAAAAAAAAGTAGGTTCAGATCTGAGAAAACAGAATCCAGCTACTAAAACAATAGGTCTAAACACAGAAAGTATCTGTTAGAGTCAAGCTAAACAAAAGCCATAAGTGTATTTAGCTACATTTGTGTCAAACATTCAGAAATAGTTACAAAGGACCATTACTTTCCTCAGTATCAACACAATTACTCAGGGAACTGCTTGGTGCATGACTTGCTTCCTTTCCCATAGCTCAGTAGACAGAACTCATCATGAACAGTATCTGCTTTGGATGGGAAAAGTCAACAGCACCTGAGCCTGCTTACTTTTAGGAGGGAAACCATGAGGTCCTACAACATTTTAAATCATGTTAACCCAAAACATCCAAACTACTTGAAGGCTTACCTTCTCTATTGAAACATTCTGGCCTCTGCCAAATGGCTACTGATTCAATCCAGAGATGAGCTGATTTGGGGAACTCAACAACCAATTTATTTTTAAAAATGCTATCCTTTTACCCACGTTTCATACTCGAAACATTATGCTTTATCAGTACATGATAACTGATGTAGGAGTTGAGTGACACACGAATAAGCTGCACCCTGCCATAATTTCCTTGTGAAACCACCTATTTTCTCATCTGCTTCATGCTCTTACGTTTCCACTTCCTTGCAGCCTTCTTTATGTTTAATTTGATATGAATAAATTAATGAGGTATACTCAGTTCACTTGCTTTGCATTTTCTCTCTTGGTTACCATGGAAAAATATTCCATAACAAAACTGAATTGGATAGAGAAATAAGGTTCCTTAAAAAAGACAAGAAAACAACTAAAGTCAGCTGAAGGAAATACGATGGAAATCTGTCATGCCTTAAGAAAGAGATGACTATACATTTGAACTCAAGTACTGAACAAGGGAGAATATGAAGACTATTGTCACAAAAACACAAACTGAACTAAGTTTTTAAGACTTCACATACACTGACTTAAAGAAGAACTATCTGGTTTTGCTGAAGAATTATCATTGTTTTCAAATCAAAGTACAAAAAGCAAATAGCACCACTCCTCAAAGTTCATATAGCGTTCTCAGGGATATTACTGCTTTTTCAGCTATATTACAATTATCAGTCTAAGTACGGTTTTAGTTTTATTATATTTGCATAGAAGTATCCCTTTATTAATACTTGGTAAATAATTGTACAGAAACACAAATACCAAAATAGTAAGTCTAGAGGAAAGCAGAAAAGCACAGTACAAATACTATGAGAAAGATGATTACCTGACATAGAGGGATCTCTTCTGGCTGGTTCGCAAAGATCCTGATCCTGAACTAATGCTACTGTTCATCATCTGCTCCCGTAAATCATGGATTTTAGCTTCAAAACGACTGTATTCTGTAACAAAGACAGAATTTGGCATGGCAATTAATTTATTGCCAAACTCAGCAATTGAACTGAAAGAAAAACTGAAATATTTTGATTAGACAAAGAAAATATACAAGAATATTGTACTTCAAAATTCTGTGATTATAATCTATAGTTCACAGTAACTATTTTCTTTCAAATTTAGATAAACATTTTTACTAATAATTATCAATTTAATTGTAATAAAAAGACAGTTACAGATAAATTTTAACCCATGACAGAAAGGAAGCTTCAGAACATACATGTGAAATACATGTCTATAACCAAGAACTAAGTTTTTTAAATTTTAAATGTTAAGAAATGGAAATGAAAAATGTCTGTACTTCAAAATTCTGGATATCACTGAGATAAAGAATTTAACACTACAAAGTGGGAAATATGCAAAACATCTTCTGAAATAAGACAATATTCCCCTGAAAGCTCAGGAAAGGAAAAAAAACAAATCCAGAATTCTGGCATGAATTTCAATCCACTTGTAAACGGCATTAGAGATTCAAACTGCCCCCACAGAAGTATGTACAATGATAATCCTGGAAAAACGGATTGTGTTCTTAAGCAGCACTGTGTACTAATAAAACTATGCTATAAGCATTTGACTTAGCTACAAAGGCAGCCAGGAAAATAGTAATTGCTTCTTCAGGACAAACATCTCCTGAAGTGAGGTACTTACATGCCGTCAGCATAAAATACGAACTCAGAGCAAGTAAGTTTTTCCTTCAGCTGAATAGTTTGGACTTCAGGATCAACAGATCCACTTGTAAACCCTTCCTAGTCAAAGGAAATGTTGTGCAGCCACCACCTTCCCCAGGAGACCACGTGGTGCCAGATTATAACAAGTCAACACTGGCAGAGCCAGGGCGTGTGTGCCACGAGCAGCTGCTGGACGGGCACTGAGCTGCTCTCCTGAGCTGCACCCTCACTCCCTGTGGGCACCAGGTTATTCAGGAAGTGCAAGACTGAGAAAAGACTCTAAAGTAAAAAATCTTGAGAAAATCTCTAAACTAAGGTTCCTTCAACAACCATCTAAAAACTGAATGTTTTATCACATTATGTTCGCAGCAGAGCACCAATAGCATCTATAATTAACTCTATCCAGATTATGAAAATCTGAACAGTCTCTTCAATAACCCTAACTTTTGTCCTTTATAAGCAAAAACTAGTAGCTTTTAAGATATCCTAGTTTTTAAAACAGCACCAAGTGTCTGTTTACTTGTAAAATTCAGATCAAACGCTTTACCACCACTAAATCCAACTGATGAGGTTGTTTGACAAGAGAATCAAAACCATGATTTCCACCACTACCGATGCTATCACTAATAACAAAAGAATGTAAGATAACAGGACAGTAACCAAAGAGGAATGTGAGAAAACAACATTTTTTATAAAGCAGCATTCTTTAGGGGAAAGGCTCAGATGCAGTGAGGGAACAGCCCAGTCCTGCTGTGCTACTGCTGCCCTTGGGTAAGTCACAAATTTTACTCATTTGTAACCAAGAAACTATAAACCTATAAGACTTTTGTACACCCCTGTGTGAAAGGTAAGTAAGCATGGAAAAGATCAGATAATCCCAGTGTTTTGTTGTGCTACAGCCTGTTCAATACTAAAAATATCTGCAGCTCTTTGCAATAGCTACTGGAAAAATTACAAATTTCCGTATCGTGTCATTTTATTGAAGAATCAGACTTCCTCCTATGCAGCACATAGCTATAAGAGAGCTACCAGGGAGGCTATTTCCCAGTATTGCTTCACTCTATCCTATATTTCATCTTCAGGTTGCTTGTCTTGCAGCTTCCTGAACTAATTTAATTTTTCTCATCAGAATTCCTGGGAAGTAAGTGCTGAATGAGTGACAGGGACATCCGTAGGAGTAAGGAGGAGAATAATTTCACCACAGAGGCTCCTGCCATATGAATAAAGCAAAAAAAGGAAACTAATGGGCTAGGACTGAGAAGGCTTTATGTTCAAAAAGAAGGAGTGCCAAGAAATTTCATATTTAGGAGAAGCTTAAACACTGTGCAGTCAGAATCTGGTGAGCTCTTTTGATGTAGAGCCTGCTAAAATTTGAGTTATATTCCTCTTAACAGAAGTTTTTGAGACGAACAGGATGAATAGAATTCATTTGGTTTGGAGCTAAAATGTACACAGGCTTTTAAAAAAAGAAACCTCAGTATAGTGCTACTGAAACTAATGCTGGAGACAGAAAATAACACAGCAGCAGGACTCTTGATAGCATCAGAAAAGCAGTGTTAGTCAAATACCCAAAGGATCAGCACCTGTGCCCTGTTGACAAAGTAGAGTTGGTTCAATATCAGCTTTATAAAGCAAAGTGTGAGCTCTGCTAATTTTTCTAGAAGAGGTTATAATTTATCTAGAATTTTATATTTCTATCTCTGTGATTAAGAGTTGGGTATCAAGTGTCTTTTGCATCTTCAATCTCTTACTTTCCCTTTCAGCTTATCATGCCTAGATGCTAGAGAACGATTTTCATTACAATGCCTTTCTTTCTTATGCTATGCATAATAGCCATATATTTATTTGTCATATAGTGTATGACAAATTTTATATTTGTTCCCTTAAATCACAGTGAACAGCACAACAAAATTCCACCTGGCTGCAACAAAATCATACAATGCACATATAAATATGTAATTTTTAAAGAAAGTTTTGTCATGTCAACATTCCAAAAATGTGGCTGGAACAGGCACAGTGGAAAGGACACTCTGCTTTCTTGGTCAACAGGAAATGAAGAGCTTGGCAGGGAAGGAATGCATTTGATTTCTGGTGTAGTGTTATCCGGGTAACAGAAAGAGCATAAGCTGTTTAAATGAAAAAGCAAAATTATTTTAACCCAAATAAAGGAGGCTGGCCAATGGAACTCTATCTACAAATATGCTTCCACTTTCCACAGCCATCAAAACACTGAGATTTTGAAATACTGTTTTAAAAAGAGCTATCATGGCACATGAAACACAAACACCCCACAAAAAAAATCAAAACCAGAAGAAAACCACACAATCCAACCTCACAATCCTTTCAGTAAGACTTTGGTCAGGCGCTGCTGATATACATCAAGTAAAGGATAAAAGGCAGCAAAACTACCATGAAACACAAAAAAATAAGAGCATTAGAATAAGGGCAACTTTTCTTGACTAGAATTTTCTCAAAGTTTCCAGGAAGTTTAGAGACAGGGAGGGAATAGTATCTACTGATATAACAGTGAGATCAAGGAAGCAAAAGCATGTCCTGCTTCAGTTCATGGCATTTATCCAACAGAACCTCACCATCACCAAAGAAAAAACCCCAAAGCCTACTCAGGTTTATACATAATCAGTTGTTAAGAACAGAGGATGAATACATCTGGGCTCAAGTTTAAACTTTAAAATTACACTGCATAAGCAGATGGTGCAAAACTAGACTAAATCTGCTCTATTCCATGTCTGCATGTATTCCACAGCAACTAGCAAAAAGGAGAGAAGATTAGCAAATCCTAGAAGATTACTCCGATTTTAAGCTCCTAAAGTGATTTTACCTAGAATTCTGTAATATTTTCAATGTCAATATTTACTTGAACAGAAAATCAGAACTCCAGAAAGGATATGATCACTGAAACTCTCCTGGACTGACCATTTGGTGGGCAACAAAACACAAATACACAGAAGAATTGTCTGTGCAGGCAGGGAAGAAGAGAACACGGCTGCAATGGAAATGCCTCTGGTCTGGAGCACACATCTAGCAAATGGGGCAGGAGAGCAGAAGGCTGCACAAGGGATGGGAAATTCAGCAAAGAGCACAGGAGGAGCAGCGGCTGAAGGAAGCTGGGATGTGAGCACAGGAGCAGATGGCAGCACCGCGCTGAGCAGCAGAGATTCTTACATACAGCCAACCCACGCAGAGCTGAAAAAGTTCACTTTAATTTAAAAAGTATGCCCCTTGCTTCCCTCTTCCCATCTGTCTATGGAAAGCCCTCTTTAGGAGGGCCCATTGGATCTGTCTAAGCAGGACTCTTGTTCTGACAACTTTATATAACTACTGATTTACATTCTTTTCTCAACTCGCAGAATATTCAATTTTCCTTTTCATGGTGCCTCCAAAGAGAGGAAGGGAGTCTGGTAGTTAGGATGGCCACCACCACACCGATCCTGTACTGATCTTCCATTTTTCTTTTAAAATGCATGGACCACAATAAAAATATCATAAATCATTTTTGAGGATGTATTTTGCTGCAATGCTTGTCATTTGATAAGAACATTGCCTGGGACAAACCAAAATTAATTCCACATGCTGTTGGTGACTTTCATACACTCTAATGTTTAATGAGCTTGTATCTCTTTAATCACTTGAAAGACTGCACCAAGGAATTTCAAAATATTAGAAAAACTTCATTTGTATTTAGTTAAGAACACTTCCCACACATCCTGGAAACCTCAAAGAGACTAAGTCCAGTCCCTGCTTAGGTGAATCCACTAAAAATGTTGTTGAAGGCTTAGCAAGTATTCACAAGCAATTTTGGTTAGTATATTAAAGAGTAGGAGTGAGGTTTTAAAGGATTAAAACATGTGTAAGCCGCCTTATAGTGTCTATCAGGGCTATATATAGCAAAATCCTTCTTCTAATCTTAATGGGTCCAGTTTTGAAAATACTCTAATTGACTAATCTAGATTACTTGCAAATGAGTAGGACCAGGTACAAAACAAGCAAGAACAGAAACCTGGAAAACCAAGGACCACATACCCAAAAACAAGGCAGACTTCTTTTAAAGTATTTTTTTAAAGAGGTTTTAGTTTTATGAAATCAGGATGCACTGATCTTTTGAACAACCTTTATTTAAGAAAATCCATGTCCTCATCTAGAAAGCAGGGGAAGTTCAGCCTTGATAAAAAACAATTACAGAAAATTAAGTTTTGTACAAGCATTACTGGCTTCATGTTACCCCAGCTAGACTTTTGCAGACAGAAGATGTACAATATATTTAAAGACTAATGCTCACAAAACAATCTTAGCTTATACATACAAAAATGGCACCATTTCCCAGATCTTATTCTTTTGAATTCCACTAGAAAACAGTACATAAAAGTAGCATTGTAAATAGAAAAATCAGCTACACACTAGCAATTAAGCAGAGAACTCTAACAAAACTTTTGTGTTTCCTCTTCTTTTTCTTTTGAATCATTTGTTTTAAAGACAAGAGAGAATGAAGAAAACACAGTTTCTATTAATAAAACTGAAAGAATGTGTGTTACCTATCTATATGAACACTGTAGGTTCAGAAGCAGATGCTTTACAAAAATACTTTGAAATCTCTCGATGTTTTGATTCCACCTTCTCCTAATCTTACACTGATCCACCAGATCACCTAAGAACATGAAGCTAATCTGATCACTTAAACATCTTACCACTTTCAGAAAATAAATGATAATTTTATTTTTGGTATCTCAGGTGAACCCTTGGGAAATAGAAAGGGCTAGTACCCTTTTCTCTCATGACAGGCTTATTTGAATTTTGCCCTGCTCTGGGGAAAGATGAGGTGACCAGTGAATGACTGCTGATGCCAACAGACTTGGCCTGCTGCCTTCTTCAAGGCCCTCCAAGAGCAGGCTTCACAGTTTACATAACTGCAGTTAATGTTATCCACATCCTTAATACAGCTCAGTTCTGATCTAGCAGAGTATAACTACAACAGAAAGCTTAACCCACTAAATTATTTTCTACCCAATTTCGATCAAATATATTTTCATATTTTAAATATATTTGTTTGGCTATTCTATTATTTTTAAACACTTAAATGCATTCAAACTATAATAGAGAAATGGCAGCCCACTGGCACCTCATACCTTTTTTGAATGGCAAAACATAACCTTTCAGAAATTCTGAATTGTGAGGCAACATTATTATTACATTTCAGATGGCCTTTTTATTTGCATGAATGTAACAATGGATATCAATGTGAAACACAGAGCCCTCCCAGAATTGGAAGCCTCTGCAGTCCTATACTTCCCCCTTGCTGCTCCTCCCCTCACTACATTCCCTTAAAGCCTGAGGTTCCTGTATTCCTGCTGTGCAGCACGATCTTAATGCTGATCATTCTCAATGCCCACGCCCAGGAGATACACATATATCCAAATTGCTTACTGCTTCCTCTCATTCCTCTGCACCAACATTACAATTCTCCCTTGCCATCCTAGCTCTGCAGGAAACCCAGAGACACAGCAGTGTGGCACTGAGGTGTCGGCCGAGCCAGGGAGCAACACGAAAATTAAATGGCTCAGAAGCCACTGAATTAAAATGGCTTATCTAAACACTTTTGTGTACTGAAGCAACATTTCTTGCTTTGAAACTGCTCCAGGTCACAGTATTTCTTTTCCAGTTGAATTCACAGCAAAGCAAAATCCCTTTTTATTCATGAGTGATGTCTTGAAAGGAGGTAGAAATTTGTAGTACAAGCGAGGGAGTAAGGAAAATCTTCTAAATAAAGATGAAAATGAGAACAACATCCTGACTTCCCAATCACATTTTTATAGGATAATTGCTGTTTCACAAACTCTTGCTTATCTCCTGCATCCAGCTCCAACAGGTCCAAATTCACTGATGTGTCCCAACTAGGGAGATTCTATATGACACCCACGGCATCTATGTACCACAGAAGGATGCACCAGCACAACCCAACAGGTGACCAGTTTCCCACATTAGCTCCTGGCAAGTTGCAAGATAAAGCCTGGAGTCTACAAGGAGAAAGCCTGAGGTCAACTGAGTACAGCTGTGGGGGTGCCTGATGCCTGAGCCACTTCTGTAAACAGCACAACACACTCACATTCCACATTTGGCTTTTTTCTGTCCCAAAGAGTGCTGGCAAGTTGCTGAAATTTAATTCAGTGGAGTAGAAAAACTTTGTAAGGCATCCCTCCTGGAAACTAAAGGAATGCCCAGAAAGACATTTTAAAGAATGTAATTACATCTGTTTTCAGTCAATTCCATAACCAAGGAACATTGTGGAGATTTAAGGGAAAGAAAGGTCAGCAGTTACGTAATTTGAGCCCAAATTCAATAAAATTCATTTCAATCAGTCATAATAGTTTACCCTAAACCCAGTAATTAGGAGTTTAGTTACCATGGATTTGGAGAGATAAGGAAAATTCAAGCCTTTGCATGAAAAGGGTTTTCCAGTGATCTGTTTTTCTATAGTCTTACTCAGGCTTTATATGAGAGAACTGCTTGCAAAAATCCTCTTTTTCCAAAAACAGGAAGAGAAAGACAAATGGGAAATTTATGATAGGAAAATGGGAAATGCGATAGGATGTAAAACCATAAATTAGCATTCCCCACCACATCTATGAACAGACAAACTGTCATATACAATAACAGGGAGTGAAGTGAGCCAGTCCCAAGTGTCTTCCAAATGCTCCTATCATACTGAATCTCTTTACTCAGTTATAATCAACCCTGATGGATGTCTAGAATCTCCTTGATCTGTCCTAGCTGTCAGCGTCTTTTACAAAATCCTTCTGGATTCATAAATATAAATAAAATACATATGCAATACAAGCAGTTATAACTGATGTTCTCCATCTTTATGAAGACATTTGAGAAACACCAATAAGGAACAACAACTTTATGAATATTTTAATACTTGTTAACCTGTTTCCAAGTGGCAGAAGCAAAAAATTAGGATAATTACAAAAACACACACACACATTTTTCATGTTATGACACCAGCAATTTTTACTGGAGAAACAGAAATTCTGCAATGGTAAAAGCAAGAAATGTAGCAAGTCATGGCAGCAACACTTCCAAATATTACAGTCTGGTCACTTGCAATTATGCTAACATATGTGTGACAACACCTATTACATTATTTGTTTCAGAAGAGGTGTTTGGTGGAAGGACACTGTAGATTATCTTTCTCTGAGTTTCAAATTGTACAAAGCTGTAAAGCAGCCCTTACCTTCTGGACGGTACTGAGCTACAATAGTCACAGCTTGGCCTGCGTTCTTCAGGGCTGCTGCTGCCTGTTCATGTGTTGCTGCTTTTAGATCTACTCCATTTACCTACAAATAGTACAAAAAAGCCCTTTATCAAAATTAATGCTTGTGTTTATCACCACAGAACACACACACCTGTGGCAAAAAAAGTAACTGGATACAAACTAGTTTCCACGTCATGTGTATTTTCCCTGTTCCCAATATTGTTGCTGAAATCAAAAGTCAATAAAATCCTCTCTCACATATACCCCTCTTAAGAATTACTGAGATTATCACAGTATATCACTCAGTGAATGGTCAATTTTCTTCTTAAGAGTGTTTTTTTTTCTTTTTAAGGAGAAACAGAGAATGGTATTTCTTGTGATGTTTCAGGGACTTTCTTAGCCAAATAATGCCTACAGACCATGCTGTTACCACACCCAGTGACAGGCAACATCCTCTGTGATGTTTTCAATGCAGCAGATTTAAGAATAGCATCAAAAAAAAAAAAAAAAAAAAAAAAAAAAAAAAAAAAAAAAAAAAAAAAAAAAGAAACAGAAATATGTGTTCCACATTTTAGACCAAGAGCAGTTTTCATAGTTCAAACTAAAATAAAGATGTGCTTTAGTATCAGTTTTAGTAACAGCTACTAAAAGGATATATTCCTCTTAAATAACTCCCAAAATACAATGTAATTGCCCAAATATATTATTCTCTACATAAATTAAGTAATTTCACAAAGAAACACACCAAATATTTATGACCTTCAATACTAATATAGAAAAAGCCCTTAGAAAGGTATGAGATGGATCTTTTTAAGACTAACAGGAGGTTCAGCAACTACTCCAGGAAGTAAGGACCCAGTTTTAGACACTGCAGCCAAGAGTCTCCATCTCATTAGAAGGGTTATTTCTGAAACCTGTGTTCTTTCAGTTGAGACTCACACAGCCCTCAGCTATGAGACTAAGGTAAATTAATGTCTTCACTGGATGTCTCAGAGAGGGAAGTGCTATTTTAATCAGGTTACAGATGAGAAATTGTGGTAGACTAAAGTCCACAAAGGTAGTTTGGAAATATATTGACATCTGTTCCATTATCTCAAATTTAGCTCAGTTAATAATATTTTTTGTATATCATTAATCGGTATTAATATGCAGGGAGGGGAAATTTTTGTTGCTATTCAAAGAAACAAAAAATCCTACAGAAATGATACGATCTCCTTTCCTAAGCTCTCCACTCAGGTCAGCTGGCCCTCCTGCAAGGATGAAAGAGATGAAAATTCCTTCTCCATCTTCTCCTCCAACAATGTTGAAACCAAGACCTGTTGATCCTCGATGTAGGACAACCTTTCTAGGCTCCCTGAAGGAAAAGAAAGGAATATGAAATCTTGGTCACTAGATATGAGTAAAAGTAAAATAAACAATTAGAAAAGCTTCTAGACAAAGCAAAACAAAATCCCTTCCCTGTTGTTAGGTGAAATGAACAAACAGAATCTACAATTCTATTCAGCACTAAATGTCATTACTTAATATTTTCCATACTGTTCAAGAACATCAGTATAGGTTGTGACAATCTCAGATACAATTTTCAATTTTAGCAAAGCAACTGCAATTGAAGAAGTTAAACTAAACCAAGTTGTTTTACTCTTTTCATAGGATCCCCTCCTAACTTGAATGAGGGGAGGAAAGAAAAAATATTGATAAAGCCAGTCAAATTCAAATGCAGAAAGACTCCTTCCAAAAATCTATTATCTGCTACTTGATTTAATACAAGCAAAGCATAAATGATCTCAGAAAAAGACATTTCTAATAAAGCAGATAAACTGTGCACTGCATTTCAAAAATCACTAGAGAGCACTAAAGAACAATTAATGGACATTAAGTATTTGGAGGCATTAATTATTAATTTACAGGATAAAGTAAGAAGCTGGTTTTTTTCCAAAACAAAAAGTATCATCTAGTCCAATCTTTAAAAATCACTCAATTTTTGCACTAGCTATTAAATCATCTTAAGTTCAAATTCTTAAATTTCACCTTCATCAACTATTATATTTATCTTTTCAGAGTACTATTCTATTTCAAATTAATTACACTGTGAAAATCTCTATACATATTGCTCTGGATCACATCAATACATTAACAAAAACAGAACAGAAAAGAGAAAGATGCAGTACCTTTTAAAATAACACTCAATTTATAAACTCCGTTTTGGGATGGAGAGAGTGAAATATGAGAAAATAATTTAAAGAAAATCTAAACATTTTCTGAATAGGCCTTGCATTTTAAAAGAAATTTAAAAACAGCCTTTTACAGTAATTTTAAAGGAAAGCAATAAAACCATAACGATATCAACAGCACATAATAATTTTTGCTTATATGTCTACCTAACCCTAAGTTAAAAACTAGTACAAAGACATATCCTACCTTCCACTACACTAAAATCAATTCTCCAGTTTATTATGCCACTTAGGTTTCAATCCTGGGTGGACCCTGCCTCGGAATCTGACATTAGCCATATCAGATGATGGTGTGACAGAATTCAGCAACAGCATACAGAAAGTGCAGTGTAACATCCCTATACTTGCAGAACAGAAGGGCAACAAAATTACAAGAGCTTCTCTTTATCACTAATGATGAACAAAAGATTAATACAATCTACTGAATCAGTGAAGGAATGAAAGGTCTGTTAATGGGAAAGGATTAAGAGCTCTCCAGCCTTTCTGGATTTAGAATCCATCAAAACAAACCCTTGTCTGTGGGGGCAGGGAGGACCCAAACACTGCTTACTTGAAAATAAGGAAATCTCTGGTCTGGTCATTGTACTATCCTAAAAATCTCTGTCAACACATGCAGCATTTCCAGGGTTTTCTGCTTTTAATGCTATTCTTGGACTGATAAATAAAGTGTGTATGTGTATATATACACATATCAATATACATCGTTTTATCCTTACAATAATGTTTGCAAGAGTTAAAAAAACTAACATCTATTTCTTGAAATAAAATATAGCATTCTCTAGTATTTTGCCCACTAATACATTTTGGAGCTTTGGTTGTTCATTACCTGGTGATCTCATCATCCCCAAGCATTCCCTTGGGAACTGGTGAATATCGCCCTGGTGATGCTGGGGGCAGGGTCTGTCCCAGGTAGGCAGATGGACTGATATGGTTATCCACTGGCTGAGAATAAGCTTCACAGAAGGGGAAAGAAAACAATAAAAGACATTAGGATAATACCAAAAAAGAGCTGGAGAAAATGAAACAAAGGAGTGACCTCTTTTAAAAACTATAGCAGTTGAAATGATATATTATAAATATCACAGTTCTAAAATCGTGTGTTAAGTTTGTACATTCCCCAGTCTCCTCACTAAGTCAGTAAGCAAAGTTTTCAGTTTCATCGTGTCTCAAATAAAACTTTTTTTTAAATAGTTACTGTGGATAGTTGAAGTCCATAGGAACAGTCTGGAGATTTGTCTGTTTTAAAGCTGTCTTTAATTTGACTGAAGCAAAGTTTTAACTGAACCACAATCCAAATAACAGAAGAAATTTAGCATCTTAATGATTCCGATTGATGGAAAATATTCTACAACACCAGGAGAATGGTTTCAATAAATAATTAAGAAGGAGCATGATATTTCTAAGTTAGGCACATCAATTTTAAGTGCTCATTACGGCACAGTCATACCCACTGTTTGCTATTACAAAGCATGTACTACAATTTGAAAAGTTGTTTTCCTGGCATATGTGCTTCAAACTTTGAGACTTAAACATGAAGGGTGCGGACTCTTCACAGATTCCGTATTATTAAAGCTGCCAGACACTTGGCCCTTGCTTGCTGTATCTGATGGGGTAGCTGACCTTTGAGGATTTATACTAAACCCAAAGCTCTTTACCTGAACATAAATGACACAGGTTGATGAAGCAATCTGCACATTCTCTTTCTGTTTTTTTTCCTTTTTAAGCCATTCTCAAAATGTTTGGATCACAATACAAACTTACCAATAATACTGTTGATATATTTGCTATTTATTTATATATATATATATATATATATATATATATATATATATATATATATTCTCCAAACCACCCAGTCTGGGCTGGATTGTGCCTGTATTGTTCTAGATTCCTAGTAAACCTGTGTGCAGTAAATTCTTCACATGGCATCATACGCATCAGGTCAACACTGCCAACATTTCAGCAAGCATTAAAATCCACCATTAACAGCTTCAGCAGTTCAAAAGCACTGGCTGATAAAGGAATTGTGCTATTCAGACACACCGGCCCTCAGCTGCATGAGACTGTGTAGAACTTCTGGAAATCATAATTCTGAATACACAAGGGGTTTCAGCAAAATTCAGAACTGAAGTGCAAGAGGTACTTGGTGCCCTTCTGTAACAAAGGCAGAAGGAAGCTCCCTCACGCTGCTTGGCTTCATGAAGTCTAAAGCAAAGAGAATGCTGCTTTTGCTAAAACCAAATGATCAACAGAAGCACTCACATTAGAGAATTCCCCAAAAATTAGGAGCTGTTCAATATGTGGAATTCCTTATACAGTTTTTTGGAACAGCAGTAACACACACACTGCACCTCCATTCTCACACTCCCTGCAAGGATTTTATAGATCCCACTTCCTTCTGTCTGTCCCAGTACAACACATAGCTTCTGTGCACTAGAGATGTAAGAGATTTGGACACCCAACTGTCAATTTCAAAACTTGGGGTTATTTTAGTCACACTGGAATTTTAGCAGCAGATTTTCACAATAATTACCAAACCATATTGCAATATTTACTTTTCAGTTTAAAAAATTGTTTTTAATGCAACATTATTATTGCCATTGCATTGTACACACGTTTTGCTTAAAACAAAGTTATTTTGTTTTTTCTCAGAAAATTTTAAAGCTGAAGCACAAAAAATGAAATGCAAGACATTATGAGCTCTTTTCCAACTACAGGAAAATGGGTTTTGATTTAAAAACCTGAAAAACTGTTGCACAGTATAGCAACTCTGTACATTCTGTTCCTTCAATAAATTATCTCATTCCACAAAATGAATTTGAAATTGCTTTTAACAAGCCAATGGTAGCCATAATTATGCATATTTTATAGAAAAAAATGTAGATACTAATTCTATATTTATTGACTTACAGTACTTCTCATTTGATTGTTTTTCAGGTTCCTGCAACTTTTAACTGCACTGTGTTCAGAAGCATACACACCACCTATTATATGACCTTATTTTTAAAATTTTTCATCCTTTCACCCTATGACTAGAAGTCAGCTATCGATCAATATAACAGTTTATTATTTCAGACCTGTGGACAGTTCCACAATAGCACTGGCTGCATCCTTTATAAAGTTTTACACATGCTACTGCCTGGAACAGTCTGGTCCTCTCAATGCTATGAAAGCAAACCTATACAAGGAACCAAGAGGCTGCTCTCTGTGGAGTTTCTGCACTGAACCATGCCTGCACCTTCCCTGAAACTTTTTCACATGGAAATTATAGCTGACTCATATTCATGAGGAATGTGACAGAAATAAAAGGCAAGCCATCACTTTCTGAATCCTAAATGAGGTCTAAATTTCTACTTCCAGGTAAATATTATTACTGATGGAACTTATAAAAGAGCTGCCTTTTGGATGAACAGAAAACTGCATGCATAAAATCAACTTGCTTTGACAGAAAAAGTCAGACTCTTAAGAAGAAATTCCATTTTGAAATCCACCCTCTCCTTAACATATTACAGTCCTAGACAAAAAGAAAAAAAGGATGATTTCCTATAGTTTTCCTATTAGCTGTAAACTGAGGACACCAACCACAAGTATAATCTCTAAAATGGGCAATAAAATTAAAACTTCATTGTCTTTTACTGTTATCACATATTCCTGTCTTCCTGTACTTAGGCCATTTAAGAAATGATAAGGCATTCATGTCTAGTGAAGAAACTGATTATTCCCTCTCTTCCAATATTTTATTTTTCAATGCAGGGTGGAAATACTATACCAACACACAAAAGCACAAAGGAAAAACTACAAAGTCCACGGAAGTTAGCACAGTGAGCAATCTGTTGCATGTTCTGCACAGTACCAAGTACTGTGCATTGTGCTTTTAGATATGTCTTATAAAATGAGAATTTAAAACAAACAAACAAACAAAAATACCAGACATAAAATAAGCAAGCAAAAACCCCTCCCAAAGGTTCTGTAAGTGAGCAGTTCATATATAATAGAGTGATTACATTACTTGTAGTAGATATGTTCACAGGGAGCCTCTGTGCACATCTTACTTCTTTGTGGTAGGACTGAACTCCTAAGAACCTGGTAAAGGGATTCTCATGGACAGAAATAGGAAGGAGGATTGCAAATACATGTCTCAAAACAGCTGCAGATGAGTAGAAGAAAGAAGCCTGGTAATTCTTTCAACACTGACTCACAATCCAGGTGATCCTAGAAAATACCTCTCTAATAGCTGCTAACTGGTAAAAGCACTGCAGAACCCCCAGTCTAAAGCTCTTGAACCCCATACTGCTCTGCTAAATGCAGTATAAAATACTATATACAGGTGCCACCCTTTTTTGGTAAGAGTTTTATCTTCTTGCAGCTTCTTGCAGAAAGCAGAGGCTTTCTGGTTGCAAAAGCAGAATCAGCTTTTGAGGAGATTGACATCTCCCTTTGAGATTCCCACTGTAAATGTGCAAATGCTGAGAGGTACTGGAAAAGATTTTGTTCTGCTCTGTATTAGAAAAATAGCATTTAGCAGCTCAGAAACATGCAGTTGTTTTTCATAAGTGAAAGACCAAGGAAAAGAGTAAAATGATTTCCTGGAATTAAGTCATTAAACACCTCAGCAAGACCTTTAGGTCTGCTTTGGGTTCCAGCAGTAGGTTCAGTCTCCTCACCAGCTGCAATAACAGCCAGCTGCACTTTGATCAACACAGACACGAGCTCATGGAGCCTTGGGTAGAAAAGGCTTTCCTGTTGTAAGGAAAAGAAACAGACTCAAGTTTCATCAAAGAATCCAGCACTTTGCAGAGGAATGTTCTTTGGTCTACCAGAAAGAGTGAAAAACATAGTATCTTCAGATAGAGAACTCAATGGAACTGTAACTAAATGAAATAAAACTCAGAAAATCAACTCAAAAGTACAGATAGCCTAAAAAGCTTGTCCAGGGTCACTAAAGAACAAAGACAGAGAGACAAGATGCCTGGAGTCCGAGAAAAACTTCCATGACTTTTTTTTTCAGAATACTTGAGTTGGAGGGGAAAGGTTCCCAGAAGCAGCTGCTGGAGCCTGAGGTAGATGACAAGGTCAGGAGACTGGCTTTTCTCTTCTCAGTAAAAGGACAGAAATACACTTTCCACAAAGGATGGGATACTGGGCTACACAGAATGCCACCATCTCTCAAATCACCCTTAAAGGGAGAGCAAAGAGAGAAACTCTGGAGGGAGGATGGTAATGGGAAAAAAGGAGCCTACATGTGTGACCAGGCCATTTATCTCTGGTCATGGATGTGACACCAGGTCACACTTACTGGGAAATAAGGACTCATGGCAAGATGGCAGAAGACATCCTCATGGCAGTTATATGGGATTATCCTTGACAGAACCTCCCTGATCTGTCCAGCCACTGGACAGGGTGAGAAGGTACTCTTGAAGATGGCAGTCTCTTATGGCTCCATGTTATGATGCAATTGCCTTCAATGAACTGAGTCTCCAGTTCATCCACCATTTGAGAGAAATTAATATCTCTGCATGACAAGGGATCCAACAATCAACCTTTGCCACTGCCATCAATTTATTAGCACTGGGCAAATTACCAGGAATCAGCTCCTTCTCTACCTTCCTCCCTTCAAACTTTCCACAGGTTTTGTCTTTGACCTCACAAAAGATTAACAAAGTAAATATTCCAATGATTGAGTCAAGGTGCAGTAAGAGATGAAATAGTCCTCTGTTTGTCACATCCCAATCCACTGCAGTGTAACTGCATTACTGCAACATTACCAGGAACATCAGGTAAAAATAGGATTTCTTTTCCAAAAAATATGAATGCCAGGTGAACTATATGAAAAGATTAGTTTTATGGAGAGAGAACATGAAGTCTACTTTCTAAGGAAACAGTGGGAAAGGTTATTGAACAAACTAGATACAGTAAGGGAAAATGGCTGCTCTCCAACCATAATATATATGAGTAGAAAACTGGGGAAGTGGAGGCTGAAAATTAGATATGCCAAAGAATGGAGCCTTCAAGAGCATCCCTTTAATAACACAGTGGAGATAAAACCTAATTAGCTCCAAATTGTAATTCAATCAGCTTACAAATAGATATCAAGATACTGTAGCTATTGCCAATAAATGATGGGCTTAAAGGGTACTTCAGTCTTTGTAGCACTGCACTTTAGTTTGTTGTTCCTTGCATACTGTTTTCAATTACATCTGTTAGTCCCAAAGTGTTCCTTTTTTTCTAATGAAGTAGTACCTAGACAGATCAGTGCTACATATCAATTGCAATATCTAATGGCAGGAAACAAAGCAATACCTAAAATAACTCTCCCCAAGAATCATTTCATGTGACAACATGAGTAAAATTGGTCATCCAGAAAAGTCAGTCTATTCAGTCTTGGAAAGATACAGTTATATAATTTTCTTCCCTTTCTCCAGCCCTAAATGGTAATAACCCTCTTAAGTTTACTCAACTCAAATATTTCTTTACATTGTAGTTCAAGCCAGAACTTTCTGGGTTCGTATGTTAGATTTTGAAAATATTCTTGTCAGTAGACCCTTATGTCAACAAGAAATTTTTGTAACTACTTTTTAATACAACATTCACTGGTTTTCCATTCAAATTTTCAATAATTATATCAAAAACTGAAGTCAGATTTCAAGTAAGTTAACATGTAATTTTTTAACACAGTCACAGGCAGGTACCGGAGCAAGAATTTCCCATCCTCCCAGTTCAGTTTATTCATGTATATGCAAGTTGATGAAAAACAGGAAAACATCAGAGCATCACCAACCTCTTTAGTTTACAGGACATTGAACACCCTCTCAACGCATTGCTTTCTACTCTCCACACTCCCAGAACACAAGACACTTGTTCTCTCCCCTTTTACTCATCAACAAGTGATGAGTAACACTGAGTCTCTAGGACTGGGTCATGACAGCCAGAAAACCACACCTGGAGCCCTGCTGCTGCTCTCTTTTCAGTATATGAGCTATAGGATGCTGTTCTGTATTGTATATAATTTTCCTAATTAATCAACTTATATCACATTTTTGCCTCATATAATTTTTTAAAGCTAAAAGTATTTTAAAGTTAAAATACAAAATTGAAATATGTTAATGCCTTTAAGGGAAAATTAATTAAATCAGAAAGATAAGATGAACTTACAGTTTGTGATGTCAGGAGGGGCATAACTGTCATTCATGAACATGCTGGTGGGTTTTGCAACCTTCAGATAAACAAAGTCAGATGTGTTTTTTAAGGCAGTCACTGCTTCTTCATGAGTAACTTCTTCTAAGCAAACACTGTTGACCTGAAGAGAAAAACAAACATTCTTAACCCAGAAAAACATACTGTTTTCATAGGACACTCACTGAAGACTGGCATTGAGAGTCTTTATTAGGATTCACATGCCACAGACATACCTGGTTACATGAAATTATATAAGAGATGTCTTGTAAAGTATGAGAAGGACAAGTATTCCTATCAGACATTATTATAAACTGTATTGACCACAACATTGTAAAGAAGGCACACGTGACTTTGGGGACCTAATGGGACAAATAGGACACTCAAAATGTAGTAAGTGTGCACGTTTGTACTGTGTGCTGCTGCAAGCATTACACAGAGAGAAGTTTCTTCTAATAACAATAAACCCCACATCAACCTGTCATGACATCATTATAATTATTATGTTCCAGACCTTATAACAGGACAATATATTCTGGCATGATGTCAAAACGTAGGGGCCAAAACTTGAGAAGGTCCCAGAATAACTGATTTACATGCCAAGTAACAAGAACCAGTTCAACTACAAACAGCAACTATAGCTACTAGAGTGAAACACTAACACTTCCATTAAAAAAAATTCCTTATTGTGAAAGGGAAAAAACTTCTGCAGATAATTCCAGACAACAAAGGAAATAAAGCTTGTACTGCACTGAACCCAAGGGGCTAAAGACACTCTCATCATTTAACTTCATGTGTAAGAACAACCAGTCTTTGCCAGTTGTTAGTTGTGGGGGGAAAACTGCTTCTTGCATCTGTATTCTTTAAGTTTCCTACAAGTTTTCCAAAAGCCTTTTGTTGACATCTCTTTAATAGATTTTAATTCCTACCACTCTTGAAGACTGAAAAGTCATTTTGCAGTATTTGGTAATTGCAGTACAATTTAAGCACAGAGACAGAAAATTCTGCAATGCATACATTCTGCAATGTATGGCTGTGGCTCTCATTTTTCTATCTGGACAAAAAATTTGTGGATTGAATTTCAAGAAGTTGAAAGGTTTTTTACATTGTGCATAGAAAAATCCAACTTTGAAGCTATTTTAAGCTTTTAAAAAAATAACAACGCCATTCAAAAGCATCACAAACACTGAAATGCAATATATGCAGCAGCTTCGCTACAGGCTGGCCAGCCACCAGTACAAGGAGTTCCATTCCATTCTTCTATTTTCAGAGGAGAAACAATCCCATTGCATGTTTGTTTCCAATTCTGTCACTCAGACCCCAGAAAAATAATAGCAGGCATCAGAAATAAACATGCTGATTTATACAGGTTGTGCATGGAACATTGGGCTGAGGAATAGATTTCAGACTTCCTGATGACATGCTGTTGAATGATGCAGATTTAATTTTATCACTGATTTTCAGGCAGCTTAACCACAAATTGAATCATGCCCCTATTGAGTCTAAAAGTGAATGACCATTAAAAAAATGCAGCTCTTACTTACAGCTAAAAGTTTGTCTCCAATCTGAAGTTTGCCATCTTTATGTGCTGCCCCACCTTCAATGATTTTGGTTACATAAATGCTATTGTCCCCAGGTATATGCTGATTTCCTACACCACCAGCAATACTGAAACCAAGACCTGGTTGAAGAGAAAGACATTACTCAAGAAACCTTTTTTGCAAGCATTGGATTTAAATTTTTACATAAATAATAACACTCCTTATATAACACAAATATATAAGAAGGATCTGGCTGAAGCAATCGATGCTTTTCAAGTGAACTCCATAATTTTCTAGAAAATAAAGCTCTAGAAAAGACATAACACGTACACAATTCTGAAAACCAAAAGCTAGATCATTTATTTCATGTTTTGTGAAGTATGGTCACAGCAGAGCTATAAGCATCGCCATGGTATAGCATCTATATATTTATAGCCATATTGCCCAGTAATTAATTTCCCTAAATTATTTTTAATCTCTCAAACATCCTTACTAGGTAGTCCAATTAAGTATTTTACTCCAATTTTAATGTATTTAAAAATTACTAGATATAATCAGAAACATTTTTATCATTTAAAGGAAAATTTGGCATTCTACAGGAACAGTTCCAATTCTATCCTTCTCATGAAACAGAAACTTTAGATTTCCAACGTACCTTTGGGGCCTTTCACAAGTTTGATTTCCACTATTTTTTCTGTGACTGGTTTTCTTCTTTTGACATACAATCTCACAATTGATCCCGCTTCTTTCAATGCTTCCACTGCTTTGCTGTGTGTCACATCCCGAACATCCACCTCATTTACTCGCAGGATACAATCGTTAACCCTGGAGACAGCAACAGTCATGCTCAGCTGTTGTGTCACAGCAGAGTGCACACATCAGGAGCCTGATATTTTATCTATAATACACTAACATACATGTTAATGCATTAAAATACAAAGGTTTATTTCCAAAATTCTTCTCATTCAAGACAATGTTCTAAAATTAATTATTAGTGCTTTAAAATAAATCAAGGATCACTGGAAAACATTTAAGAGGAATATTTAATTCATGGCTGAAGAGGGCACTTTATTAGATGTATCTCATTTTGACAGTGTTTTGAACAGATGTTTGCAAAAATTATCTTTAGTTTACGGTTATAAAACAGAATTTAAAAAATCAAAACCTAGAAGGCACACAATGAAAGCATAATAGTGTTAAGCCATGATATGAACAAGTCAATCTTGCTTTTCACAAGCAGTTTAAGTACTGGCCTTCCAGTCCATTTAACATGTTGCTGCAGTGACACTGAGCCCTCATTTACACTAAGTGCAATGCCAGCCCACCTGTCAGAGTGTCCTGCCAGATGTACCTCTAACAATGGCCAGTAAGCTACAATGAAGCCTTGAACTAAGCTCATTAGGACTAAAACCCATAATACATCAGGTATTTGCACATGAAATGATGGGGCAAGTTCTTGGCAACACAAGAGGGAAAAAAATAGTCCTACAATCAATGTGGACAGCTATCTTTGAAGAATTAAGACACTGAATTATTACCAAGCACAAAAAAGAGTTGTTAATAAACTCAACTACCTTGTGGATCAGAAAATCCACATATGGATAACCAAGAGTTACCCATCCTATCTGTCTAAGCTTTTTCTTGAATTAAGGACTATGAAAGATATGTCATAATAAATTTGTACCACAGAATAGAAAAATTTTACTTTATTTTTCTAAACTGCAGATATTATTAGTTTAGGAGACACATTTTGATCCACTCAAACATTCTTCATTATTTACAAAACACTTCTGTAAGGAAAACCTATTTAACCATTTAATGCAGGAGGATAAAACTATTAAAAGTAACAGAAAATTTTCTATCCACTTTTTAAAATACAACAACAGCACTTAGTAACCCAAGACAGAAATTCATCTTACCGTAATCTTCCATCCTGTGCAGCTGCACCCCCAGCTATAATTTTGGTAATGAAAATACTTGCATCATCCCCAATATGTGGGTTGTCTGTACCACCTGCAATGCTAAAGCCAAGTCCTGAATTTCCCTAAAGACAGAAGGAAAAAAAGACGATTATTTCTTGGGGGAAAGTATTTTGATGTATTCAATACACTATAGAACCAAATCTATATAATCCTCACTGAAAACAAACATATTCAAAGACAATTTAAGCAGTATGCTACATATAGAACTTCCTTCTATGAAAATAAGTATAATTACATCTTGCATACATGTAAGGAGAACGTAAGTCCTTGTATAACTATAAGAGACAGTTCCAGCCCCAGAGCTTTCTCATTGAACTTGATAAAGTACATAAAATCTTCTATCTCTGATGTGCTAGGTATTTCAGATTATTCATACAAATATTTACTCAACATTAAATTATTAGTAAAACATTTTTTTTCAGAGAAAAGCCCTTAAATAGCTTGTGTCCCACTTCTAATATATTCCCACAGATGCAGAGATTTAGACTGACATTTTTCTCTTCAAGGATTCCTTGCCCTTATCATCAACTGCAAGACCTCTTCACCCTCTCAGTAACCACCAGAACTGCACAGGTTTTAGGCAAAACAATTTCTTTCTGTCTTTTTGTTAACAGTGCACCTCAAGTGAACTGAGCTAAATCTCAATGTAGAAAACCTAACAAAGAAATGCACGTGACAAAGTGTCACTTGTCATCTCAATATAAAACTTAATAGTATATAAGTAAAAGCCTATGAAAAAAAATAGCAATACAGGAGATTAAATTACAATCTGTGCTGTTAGTCTCTAGAAGTCTAGGTAGCAACATTAAATGCAGGATGTCTTAGAAGAGATCATTCCCCCATTTCACTCTCAATGGTCAAGTATCTTAATAAAACTTTCAATTCCTGCTAAGCAACTGAATGTACTTTTTTTTTATTACGTTAAAAAATATAACTAAAAAAAAAAAAAAAAAAAAAAAAAAGAAAAAAAAAAAGTAAGAATTAGTTTGGATTGCTATTTTTCCTATTAAAGTATCATAAATTCCATTTCAAACAGAGTACAGATGACATTTAACATGTTACCCTTTCAAGAGTAATTTCTTCATACTCATAATCTGCATCAGTGCCATTGACCTATAAAAAAGAGAGAAATAAGACTTACAGAGAATCCTACACTTTACACAACCCATTTTGCTTGTCTGGAATTTCACTCCCATCAAATATCAGCTGATTCATGGTGACCACTGGGCTCAGCGGGGACATGTGATTTTCACACCACTCTGTATTTATGAATCAGACAATCTTTTTGTATGAGTTTAAAAGTTGCCTGTTCAGAGAGCAGACTGTTCTACACAACTACTGTAGGGCAAAGGCCCTCTGCTTCTATTGCTAGAAAGAAAAAGTGCTCTGGAGATCCTCAGATGTTCCTCAGGCTATACAGCAACCTGAAAATGAGAAAAAAAAAAAAAAAAAGAGAATGTGGGGTAGAGAAGAATTGTAAGGAAGAACAGAGCAGCATTTTCTTACTGTTGTTCCACACTGAGCAGAGAAAAATCAAAGATTGATGCTTTATATAACCTTTTTATGAGAAATAGACAAGATCCTTCTAAAGTAATATTTAACAACTGTTTATAATACTATTTTTATCATGTCACATATATACTAAAGTTCATCAATTTAAAATAGGGACAAAAAGAGAAAAAGAGAAGAAGAGTTTAGAAGAATACTTTATAAAGCTTGATGAAAAACTGAAATCCTAGAAATCCTGAAATCCTTGTCATCCTCTGGTTAGAAAGGATAACCACATTCTTTGCTACCTACAGAACAAGGAAAGAATCAAATACCTGAAGCAAAAAAAAAACCAAAATTAACCAAAATAAATTGAATAACAAATTCTCAATCATATTTAATATTCAAGAGTAAGCTTTTTTCCAAGATAACTTGGAACTCAAATTCTTTCCTTCACAGTTATTTACAGCAGCTACAGATAACTCACTGTTTCTAGCCTTTTAGGATTAAATATTTAAGAAGTTAGAAATAACATTTATACTATTACATTACAAAGGACCTTGTCTACCCTTAAGATATAGAATATCTGAAAAGACTTCTGTAGTTTTAACACACTAAAGATACAACCATATGTAGAAGAAAGCATTTTAAAATCTGTCCACTTTCTAGCACAGACTTTAAAAAGGGAATTTCATTCACCCCAAATAAGATTAAGATCAAGCTACGTCCTTCCTCCTATGTTTATTTAACATTTTTAAATGCTCTAAAATCTGGCAATTCCATTACTTTTGCAGGCTGTCTAATATCAAGCTCTTTTATCCCTCATTCCCTAATTGTATCTCCTTACAATAAAAGCCATATCCATTCCACACATAACAGATTATCATCTTTGCAAAGTACCTCAAAAATTATGTCCTTAGCAGTTTGTTCAGTGGAAAAGATAGGGTGGTTTTAACACATGATATTTCTGTATTGAAAAGGGAAGAGGTCCTGACCTTCTGAATACATGAAACCAGATCTATTGCTACACCAACACAAAAGAAGCCACTGTGACCAAGAAGTTTTGATGGCAGCTTAGTCCTTGAGCTATTATCTACAGGAATGACAACATGTGCTAACTGAAGCAGTCATCCAGCATTACAGTACCTGCAAAAGGTTCATGATGATTGATCAGTGTGCAGTGCTCTTTTCTTTTTTATTAGACAAATAACAAGAATGATTAATCATTTCCCTATTCATTGCCATCACAACAAAGCCAATCCTAATATGTTAAACCAGTCTCTTATTTCCATGTACAAAGCTCTGTAATCCAATTCAAAATATCATCTAGATAAACAGAAGCAAACAAAAACCTCCACTGTTTTTATCTTCTCCTTTAGCTTAGTTCTATACTCTCTTTTTGAAAAATTACCTTTGAATTTATTCATCTAACAAACCAAACATTAGCAGAGACAGGAATAAGGATACATCACATGATAAAAATCACTGACCTAGTCAATCTTTTCCAAGTTTTAAAGGGATCTCACACCCACTAAGCTAAGTTTTATTTTCAAGGCCTTCCCATGGATGAAGGACTTTGTATGTAAATGTTGTAATTATGTATGTAAATGCCTGACAAATGAACAGCTCAGCCTCCACATAACTACACTTATTACCTTCATTTTTCAAATAGAAGCAACTAATTTTTATGAATGTTTATAGCACTAAAACTTTAAGTATAGCCACTGCATGAAGAAATGTCTTTATGAGAAGTGCAACAGAATTAGCACATTAAATATTAAAGTATCTGCCTGCACAGTTGAAGAAACAGATTGTTCTCTTAACATTGAACCTCTGGAACCTCAATTGCGTTTTGCACTGTCATACACTGGTACACAGAAAAATTCCTATCTGCATTCTACAACTTTTTTTTTTGCAAAACAGCTATTAAAGGAGTTTAAATAACCATCATCAGAGCTGGCAAAAAAGCACCATAAGTGAGATAAATTAGGTCTTAAAATACAACAACAGGTGTACCCAACTACATTCATAAAACATAATCTAAAGTTATAATTGAAAGCAAGTGTAGACTTACATATGTTGAAGTCTCCAAAGAATCTGTATTCACCAGCACTGGAGGGGGATTTGCCTTTAAAAATGAAAGGGAAAAAAAATTACACAGCATAAGAAAATGCACTACTGATGATAATTTTACAGCATTTAGCTTGCTGGCTTTCCCAAGGTTCTGTTAAAAGGTAGCCTGACCTTGAGAATCTCAAAACTGACCTTCTAAAACATCTGTTACTATCCTGAACAATTAAAAACACACCATTAGATATTAAGTATGATCTCAGACTTCCTAAGTTCTGTCATTTATTACCTTGTTTTTCAAAAGAAAACCTGAGTCATGCTACCATTTGACATGATGCCAGTTGCCCCAGTACTTGTGGTATGATATGCAGAGGTTGTTTTACCACTCACTATCTCAAAAGCAATTTTAAGAGGATCTGATTTCCCTTTCTTCCCATCAGGAACAGTGAACCATCCCCTTCATAAACTGCAACATGGAAACCTGCAGAAATGCAACTTAACCTGCAAAACTGACTTGCAAATGCAAACCCACAGCAGACATACATTTGCTCCACAGCAGCATGGGCTTCCATCAGAAAATTGTTAAGGATTAACAAGCATAAGCAGTCCGAGATTATTGCCACAGAAAGCTGAAATAATATTAGCATTTTTACAAACCAGGAACCAGTAGAGTAAGTTTACACTTCTGGTATCATACACTGAAACTTTTTCTGAGAAAAATGTGGTTTCAACTAAAAGAAAATCCATAGGAAATGATGGCATTTCTCTGAAATGTTTCCAAACAAACAGATTTTTCCCAATTATCCACCAACTATCTGCCTTTAAAATAGACAGCATCTAGCCTGCTCTAGGAACATAAGCCAAATAAACAGTGTCCAGATATATTCCAGATTCCAAATACTGTTAATTATTAAGTTCAGTGGCACTAAACAAAGTTAATCTCCTTATTGCTTTAATGAATTTGAGGGGGTTTTTAATATGCATGGAAATAAATTATCTTTAAAATTAAGACATTGATTTTTTCAATCTCCTAGGTACATATGTGTGTGGAAATAAATTTAGGGACAGTTTAATAGGCTGCAAAAGAAGCCAGTATTAAACTCATGCAAAGGTAAAGTTAAGACCTTTAAAGACATGACAATTGCAGTAACCATATTCTGCATTTTTGCTTCATTATTCTGCATTTTTGTTTCATTACTATGACAGAAACATACTTCTGAAGAATTTATGATTTTAAAAGCTCCCAAACATCAGAAGTGATGACTCAGAAGTGCCTTTCAAAAGGCTGAGATGAATAATCTCCCATCATTAGACAGGAGCCATCAATCTGCTATCAAGTGTCAGAAATTAAGCCTGTGTTATTTAATAAGAATTAAAATCAGGTGGGATTTTAGTTCTTATTAACACACATTAACAGAGCAGACAATTAAATGTAAGAGGAAACAAAAAGGATGACACATATGACTGTCAATATGCAATCAAAAGCCTTTCTCACCCAGCAATTCTCTCAGTAGAAGCACTGGCACATTTCATGAAGTAAAGACATTAAGCACTAGTTATTAATGTCACAATAAAAATCTGACAAAACAACACTATCCTTCACAACTATTTTCTTCCACTAAATTAAATTTCATTTTCTGCTTCTTAATCAAGTGTAGGTTCTATTAAAATAAGAGTAAATTAAAATTAAGATCCTGTACTAAAAATCCCAATCTATTATTCATCACCATAATTTATTGTTAATGTTATAATAAATATAGCTAAACCATATGTTTTTATGGTTTTGCTCAGAAAAAAAGCAAGGTTTAATTGCTCAGTAATGTTCTTTTCACTCCATTTTGGAATGTATTTTGATTTAATATTAGGATTCTGTAACATCCAATTATATTCAACATACACAGTGACAGTGAAAGCTGGTTCCCCATGATTTTTATTTTTGAGGCACACAAGTGTTCTTGTTTTCATGTTAAAAAAAAAAAAAAAGACAACTACAAGCAAAATTGCTGTTAGTAGGTGAGCTTTGGTGAGCAGTATGTTTGAGATACAAATCAGCCAACCAATATAAAACCCCTTTTGTAAGTTAAATGATTGTTTCTAACACTCCTATATTTATCCAAACTCTCCATCAAGCAAAAGCAATTTACCATCTTTTTCAATGATGAATGAAAAAAGTTGTGCCAGGCTTTCCAAAGGTACTATCTGGACATGGTTGCACTGGCCTGTCCACCTCAAATTTTGATGTGGGAAGAATCCCCCTATTAGAAGGGAGTATTTCTAAAACTAATCAAATTTCTGGTCTTCCTGGTGGAAGAAGTACAGGTGAGAGATTCAAATAAACACACATCTACTGGAAATTGCACTATAAAACAGGCAACTGCAAAAAGATTTGCTAATTATGGATTATGCAAAAACTAAAAACTCAGCAAAGACAAAGATTACCACCTGTTGCAAGTTTAGTCAAGTAGCCTAAAAGTAAAAATTAAGAAAAAAACCTGATGTCCATAGTACAAAAATTTTCAAGTAATATTCTGGATATCTTAACTTCCTTTTAAAGTTAATAAATATCTGTCACCAAACAATTCCAAAAACTGACCCATCTTTTCAGAAGGTGTGCACTCGTCATTTCAGATTTCTGCACTGCAAGTTGCAGCAAAGTTATAAAAAACTAAGAGCAGAATGACAATCTATTTGCAGAAATGTAACTGCTGGCTATCCTGGGTTGTTGCATAACTTGCGATGCTGTGGTCACATATTCCAAATTACATGGGAGATATTAACATTAACTCATGTTACTGCCTTCACTTGTCTTGAGAGGGTTTGGTTTTTCCTTTGGAGGTTATGTGGACATTATGGGACCTAAAGGATGAAGGTTCAGAAGGGAAACATTTTATGAGCCAAATATGTTAGGAAGGGACAGATCAAAAGATCTTTGTATTCTAAATGTCCCCCCAAACAGTAATACCAATAAATGGGTAGGGAATATGAGACACACCATGCAAGTGCAACCAAAGAAAAACATGTATGAAGTATTTATAGGAGATGAGAAGACATTTACTTTATAAATAAATCAAGCAATAACACTTTAGTACAGGTGAAATGGTTCTAAAGTTATTATGTGAACACAAAATATCCTATTGGTTCTTTGAATTCTTTTGGTTATGTTTTCTTTAGTTTTTTCACAACTTACTAGTCACTTATATGCAAATATAAATATTTTAATGTACTAAAAGCTGTACAAGATTTAGGGTGAAATTCTAGTGTATTTAACAGTTCACCTCAAAACTGAGTATGGACTAGCAAAAGCCATATTTCAACAAAGCAAATAAACAAATTAAAGAAATAAAAGTTGAACAAGTTTAATAAAACAAAACAAAACGGAATAAAAACCTGTGGTATGGTGGATGGGATGGTCTCAGCAGGGACTGGTGGGACAGGGATCACAGGGACAATGGGAGAAGAGGAAGGAACAGCTTCTGTGGGCTAAAAATCACCAACAAAATGTCAAAAATAAGGAAAGCTAGAAAAAAACAGTTTAAAACAAACAAGACTCAAATGTAACAGCATAAACAACTATGAACTAGCACAGTTCACATGGATTTGGAGAGTAACTACAATGCAGACAGTCCCTGTGGCCCACACTGCTCATGGCAGCACATCCCCAGCACTGGCGAGGAGCCCAGGGCAGCTGGACATGCCCAGGTGGGCACTCCCCTTGCAGCACTGACACTTCTGGGTCCAACAAAAAACCTGCTCAGGTCAGTGAACAGACTCAGGCTTTTTGTGAGCTGGTTTCACAACAGAATCCCTTCACCAAGATACAACAGAGTGCAAAAGCAGGGAAATGGGCTGAAATTAATAGCACTCAAAAAAGCGAATATTCCTCTCTGATAAAGAGGAGAAATCAGAAGTATCTTATGGTTTCTAAACTTAGCAAAAATCAAAGAAAACCTATTAGTCAAATGGGTGGAATGTGCTAAAATAAATTCTATTTATCTCTCATAGATCTTCACACAGGTTTACCAAGCATCTGCAGACTAGGACAATTTTGGTCTTAGGAATCTTCAATGAATTAATAACCAGGAAACCTACTGGCACTTAAGCTGCACAGGAATAAGATCTCAAACAGCATTTTGAGCAAAACATTGACTCAAATATCTTTGAGATGTTCACACACTGGCTGTCAACAAGCTGTCAGCAACACAAACTGCTGGCAACCATCATCAACATTACAAGCTGAACAGCAGATCAAAGCTCTTGTAATTTAGATGTTCCAAGACATTCTTGTTATCTTTAAAAATAATGAAGCATAATGACAGAAGAAAATACTAAATCCTGAAAGTGAACAAAAACCTCAGAATATAAGAGTGTATTAAACATTTTAAAAGTTTGAGATATCTTAAAATACAAAGCAGCATACATCAACAGCAGCCACCAAATTAAAGAGTGATAGCAAATAATGCTATTTGCATTAAGAGTCCAAGAACAGCAACATATATTAAATGTACATATGGTATTTCTACAGGGTTTTTTCAGCTCAAAGTCAATCCTCCCAAAATGAAAGCTGGTGAAAAACATTGCAATTACTGAAAGATGCAAGAAAAAAATGTATTTGTTATATCAACAGTTAATCCTAATATCACTAAAGCATTCTTACAGCTACGGACTAAAGCAGAGTATTTCAAGTGCTTAAAAAGAGGAAGGTAGGGTAGAATCTAAATTGGTCTGGAAAAATCTTAATATGCCTTTTGCAAAGGCTGCAGGAAATGCTCACTGCAATAAACCTGTAGTACTGAAATGACAACATAGGCTTTAGATGACAGATCAAAGTAAACAGCTCAAGCAACCACTTGGCCCAACGCATGCAAAAAATGAGTCCCCCCCTTTAAGTCTGCCTTGTTCCAAAGTAAGTGGCTTTCTATGTAGGTACACACTAAAAATCCTATTAACCAAAATTTCAGATATACTGCATACCAAAATACAACACAACACTAAGGCAGAACAGATAAGCATTAGCTTTACAGTTACACTCCTGCAGTAAGAGAAGGTTCAAACAGAATTGAATTGTTCTGAGATCCTGACCATTCACTTCCCTAACCTTCCACCTGGCAAAAAAAAAAACATTTTGTAATGGATTTCCTTATGAGCCGAACAACCTCCACCCCTCTCTTTGCACCAAATGTCAGTTTTATTTTCCTGCTTCCTTTCTTTCCCCAATTCCTAATTCCTCTCTATGGATTTCTCATCCCCAAGTGCTTCAAAAACCCTCCTGCAACCACTTCCACATTTTGCCCTTATTATTTTAAAACTGACTTTGTTCATGGTCCTTTAATTCTTCCAGGGCCCAGTCTCATAAATTATTCATAATGTCATTGTATTTTCCCTTTGTGCTGCTGGTTTAGGATCTACTAAACCTTAAAAGTTCCCTGCTCCTTCAAGCATCCTGGCAGTTTTCCTGTAGAGCCTCCTCCAGTACCATGTGGATGAGGCAAGAGGCAACAACACTGGCAACACTTTCAAAGCATGTGCAAATCGAAATGAAGACAAGACTGTCTTCACTGGAAGGTTTCATGGAATACATTGAACTGATGCAGGCACTGTGGCAATCAAAATGCAGGACAATGCAAGAAATTAAAAGATTTTCAATCATTAGATAAAGAGGATCTAGAACTTCCTTATAGTAGAAGAGCAATGATTTTATTTTATTAAGACACACAGTAAGTCTGCAAATGACTATACAATACAGGTGCCTGTGACAGCACCTGAATAAAATCCCAGGATGTCATCTCAACATGCTGCTGTCCAGGAATTTTTAAGAAACTTTTGTAATTTTAGGAATTCTCCAAATATACACTGAAGTATTCTGACAAATAAAATCTTATTCTCAAAATAACTTTCAATAAAGACATCTGACTAAAACATTTAATGATTCTGGTTCAAACAGAATCAAACCAATATAAAATAGAAGGAAAGTAGCAGGCCAATTAAAAGCCATCTTTTGAATACATATGAATTACAGTATACAATTATGATACATTATTATATGTAGGAATGCATGACTTGAAATATAATTTACTTGAACACATATGCAAGCCTAAATAAATATGCTAACACCTACAGTGAAAAGTCATTATGTAACAATATTCTACAACAGTATTAAATATTAGTATTAAATATTATTAATACTCTACAACAGTATTAAAAATTACTTTATATTTATCAAAGTATAATTATGGACTTTAAAATTGATGTTTAAAAAAATCATTTAAGTGACATGTTTACAAAAGCTAAGATAACAATACCTTTAAGTGATCAACTGAGTGCCTCCAAATCTAACATTACATCCAGATGTTAAGAAAAGTCAGAACACATACATTTTCTTGTGTTTAACCCACATGCAGTAAGTCCTTCAGTGAGGAAATACCAGCTAATACATAGGTAAATCAGAGCACCGTACACATCCTCAAGGAGACCAACTAAGCCAGCAAATTCTGTAACACTGTTCTTAGTAAACAACAAAAAGATACACTTCGGAGAGCAAATATCAAGCAAACTAAACTTTCCTTGCTTTCAAGAAATTATTGTAAACTCCTATATTGCATAAAGTACAGCAATCTTCACTGGAAAGAAAACATGAGAACAACTATTCCTTAGCCCATCTGATTTCTATAATTGCTACTTTGATTTCTAGCAATAAAATACAAAAGAAAAGTTAGTAAGAAAGTCATTAAAAAAGCATTAATAAAACTACAGAAAGAAAACAATGCTTTGTACAAAAATGCACATCTCCAAACACGCAGTGCAACACCTACCTTTCCTAAAGAGCAATTAGAGCACGAGCCATCAGACACCCAACCACTGGCAGCTTTTACTTTCGCTGTGCTTTTTGTAGGGCTCTTTTTCACACTGTCCCGTAGGTTTACAAATTTCCCTCTGTGTTTGGCAGACGCTGGCAGCGTGCAGGAACTGAACGGTGCCCGAGCGCTCGGTGCCCACTGCGGGTGCCGCAGCAGCTGCTTTGGCTGCAGGTGAGCAGCTTCGTGTGTTTCCATTCTCGGGCTCCTCATTACATCAGAGCGTTTGAGCGTTCCCATCTCACCACCATGAGTACTCATCAAAGTCACAACACTAAGAGTCCTTTTGGGGGGGGGCGAAAAAAAAAACAACCAACCAAAAAAACCCCAAAAAACAACCCCAAATGGAAAAAAAAAAACCAAAACCATGAAACCCCCAGCCAAAATATAGAGGGAAAATAAATGAAAATATTTCTTCCTGAGGAAGTTAAAAATATGTTTTCTAGATGATGGTCATAGGAAGAAACCCTACATTGCTCTGCATTAGCTAGGTCTGCATGTTGTGTGCTCCCTCACTCTATTTAAAGAGCACCATTGAACCACCACACAACAGTCAATTTGCTGGGCACAAATAATCAATGCAATGCACAAATTATTGAATAGAGGGCAAAAGTCATCTGACTATTATAAAGAAGCTACAAAAGGCTATTTCTCCCATAAGCACCTACAAATGCTTCTCCATTTTACCACCTCAAAAGTTCTCGAAGGCTTACATCTAGAAATTTTTTTAATCCTTCTGCTGTTCTGAATGCTTCATGGGGGCAGAAAATTAATGAATTTACAAGACGTTTATGATGGAAAGTATATAAATTGTGAAAAGGTAGATACATTGTACAAGATTTCAACAATAAAATGTCAAATATTATTTTTAATACCATAATAAGAAAAATTACTTTGTGTTAATAATTTTAAGAGTGGTATTTCCCTGAAATGCAGCAGCACTGTGAAATCACAACTTTCAGGCACATACTGTTTAATTTTTTTTAATTTAAGATATTGAAATGAACATTTAAATGATACTTAAATTCATTTTTTATTATTTGTTTAGTTTTTAATGCTAAGGATTCATGATCTCTGCATCCTTAGCATTAAAGGATCTATTACATTTTTATTCCGATATTCAAAACAAAAAAACCTCCAAAATTAATCCTTCCCCCATTCCCCCAAAAAAGTACAAGAGGAGGAAACAGTTTGATTTAATCACATTGTTGAATATTTAACTTTAGCAGTCTATTTTACATTTTAGAAAAAGGGGAGGGTCAAAGGTAATTTCCCTGCGTCTGTATGAAAATTGACAGCTAAATGCACCAATATTCCCAGCCTTGCAGAGGAAAGAAGTGGAGTCAAATCAGTGGCCACAGAGTCTTCTCAGCAGGCACACAAAACCAGCATCTGCACAGTGTGCACCACCTGCCTCTTGCCCAGTGCATCTGTTCTAGGAATATGCTGTGGATCTGAATTTCTGGTGCTGGGTATGGTGAGAATGAAGGACACCAGCTCACAGGAAACAACTTGATTAGGTCAGCTGTACTGTATTTCGGTAACATGGAGAGTTTTCATCAGTTCACAGAATTAAAATATGGTTATTCTCCATCTCACATTACACCTTTCTACAGCAAATGTGAATAT